TTATGTAGTGTTCTTACTAAATTTTAATAGTGCACCCACCGACTTATTCAACTTTATTATTCTATGCAGTATAGTCTATCTGGAAATGATTTAAACCTATTGCCGTGGAAACTTGACATCTTTTATTTTGTCTATAAAAGTGAGAACATTAATAAAAAACAAAGTGTGATTATCGTGCTTTTTGGGATTAATTGAAACATGTAATGTAATGTATCAATTCGACTCCAAATTTGAATTCTTCGAGTTAAAATACGTCAGAAACTATATTTTTGGTTTACTTTTCTCTCGCAATTCGGAATATTACACAGTTCGTTCGGACGTAAATCTCACACGAGACAAGAATCTATTTTGCCGCACTAGTTAGATAATGTACCATTCTACACTGCGCTACAGTTTTCAAAGCTTTGCATAGCTCAAAATATTTAAAAAAAAATAAACTAAGATATAGCTTTGATTTATGTTGACGCAAGGATTCCAAATTAAAGTTAGATTAACATTATATTTTTTTGTTTTTTTATTGATTTATCACAGACCACGAAAATTCGTGTACTTTCTTCGGATTTTTAAGGTCAAAAAATAGCGTTATAATTAATTGTATATTTTATTAAGACCATACAGATTAATACAACTAAAAAATTAGAAATCTAGATTTAATCTGAATATTCAACAAAGCTCACGCCTAGTTAATGCATTTTTTATATAAAATTGGCCATATAGATATGTCAAAGCACTCTTTCTTATCAATATTTTGAAAGCGAGCATCATTTACATTTCTAAAGAAGTGTGACACATTAGTTCGCGGGACGAATATTCTGCAAATATTGTATAAACCGACTGACTGCCAATTGATTGATAAGCATTTTCAGATATCTTTGGCTTGCCTTCCAAGACATATCAATACACATTCACGCAGACAGACAATCATGACATGAAATGCTGTCGTAATTTTTTTTCCACGATATTACTTTAATTATACACGGCCGTTTGTAAATAAAGAGCACAGAGGATAAATTCATGCTTCTTATCGGCATACGAGAGATAAGCCACGGGCAGAAGGTTGAGGGGAAAGGATCTGAACATATAGACTTGTGAGATAAGTGCTTTTTTATAGTTTGATAAGCCTTACAAAAAAATTCGAGATAAGGCTCTCCGCAATTTTAAACTTTTTTTTCGCGAACAAGACGTTCATTCATCATTTGCACAAGTATTGTATTTATCACCAGTTTGTGAAATTGCAGAGCAAAAATGAATGGTATTCTAATTGCGATATAAACGGCTTGAGCACGTGTACTGTGCAATTTTCGGAATTGCAGTTTGGGATAATGAGTTATTAGATATTTCCAATCTTAGATTTTTTACAATGCTTACAATTTGTCGGTTTCATATTTATTAAGATTTTTCTAATAAAAACAGTCAATTTCCATTCCAAACAGATGTTTGGCTTTGGAAAAATCATTACTACTCCTCATTCATTTAACATTAATTGCAAGTATGCAGAAATGATAATAGAGATAGGTGTGTGGTTATTAAATCTAGGATTATGGGCTTGTTTATTAATTAAAATAATTCAAAAATATATTTTAAGCCAGACAGAATTTATTCAGAGTGCACAAGGAAAGGCACGTCTGCCGTGGAGTACCATCTCATAAAGACTAACTTTGACCTATAGTACACGACTAAGAGGTCTACGACTCACTCTAATTATCGGCGACATCGATGAAGCCAGTAGTTCTCTACACCGAGCAAGTTTATATACGTGATACAATTTTATGATATTTTAGAAAACTTGAGAAAAACAAAGAGATTGATTATCGTTCTTAAATCTGAGTCATACTTACACATGTATATTAGAGTATTTCAACAATAGAAAAATAATAAAATGCACAGACGTGCATATACAATTTTTTTCACAAAGTGCAGGAAGTGTACAGGCATATGAAGCAGCCACGAGTTTTGAATTTAGGGGCCGTGAGCAGCTGCGGATTACAAGAATAAAGAGCAGTTGCTCGCGCACGCACGTGCCACATCCACCAAAGTGGCTCCAAATTTAATTGCTCTGTTGAATTTACTTTTACATCAACAGACCCTTCCTGTCTGCTCGATCGAAAAGTATACAGTGGCGAGTTTATGCATTTAATATTCGCTTGTTTGGCATTTAGTCCGTGAGCCTGGTTGAATAATTGTAGAACGCTGTAAACGTTGTTTTCAAGCAATCGGGATGAAAATTTTTCGACGCTCCGAATTCGACCAACAACGTACGTTCACAAATAAGCTTTCCACAAGTAACATCGAAATATATTTTTCGCACTTGTATCGTAATATACTATATTTAATGAAATTACTAGCTGATGCAGAAACTTATAAATGTAGCACAACTTGAACTCGGCAAAACAGACAGAGATAACGTAGTTGGTAGAAAGCCGAGTTATTGGCAGATTTCGAGTTCAAGTTAGTGTAGATTTTAACGATCAACTCCCAGTAAACCGCTTTGTTTTTTGAGAAAAATCGTACGGAAAAGGTACAGGTAAGAAAAAATTGCCGAGGAAAGCTTGGGTCCGAGTACAATAACGAGCGACAAGCGCGATTTCTCCCTGAGACAAACAAATAAGCATTCAGGAGATTTCACGACAGATTTCCGTGATGATGATTTATTTCATTGGTGTATTTCTGGAGTTAATCCTCCTAAACAGTATATTTTCTTTATTGTTGTGTAATATCTGTCTATAGTACCTGCGTACAAGAGATTTCTTCTGGTTTATGCACAAATTTCATAACGAAAAACTATTTTTAAAACAAAAACATTAAACGGTGACGTTATGGGGTTCGTAGTTAAAAATTAGAGTACTTTAAGATAAAAACAGTATCATGACAATAGCTTTTATTGTGTACATACGAATATCACATGAAAATTACAGCTTATATAAAAACAAAGCAGTTTTTCGCCGTATACATCATATAATTTCAAGATTAAGCGTGCTACAAGTGAGGCAAAGATATAATGTGTAAATAAAACATCACATACAAGCAGTGACAGCTATCTGCTTTGAGACGATTGGTCTTTCGGAAATGAGGATGCATATTCATGTTTTATAATAACATCCGTTTCATTGAATCGATAGCTTCCGCTAAAATTCCCGCATTGTGATTCCTATAGCTTTTTAATGAGGTTTACTTTTTCAACAATAACATATTATCGTTGGTAAACAAGCATTAAATGAACATCAAAATTCGTTGTACGAAATAAAACAAAGCAATTCTTATATGTATACATTCGTGAGAGTATAAGTTCAATATCAAGCGACAATATAACGGGAAAACGTAAGCCCTAAATCAATTGAGCATCGAGTGCTCGTAAGCAAGAGGAGCAGCAGCAGCAGCCGGCACCTCTTCCTCCCCCTCCACCTCGCTAGCTTTCTGTTTACGCAGTGTTAGCGGCGGGTTGAATTATAGTTCTCGCTGGCGGCGCGGAGGAGATGCGCCCTCGCCTCGGTCATTGGCTGATTCCACGCGCCCGCGCGTACGTGTTCGCCGCCACGATACTGCTACGTCTTCCCTTCTCACCCTCTACTTCGCTTTCACCAAGCTCTATATCTATACCAGTGCACGCACACACCCGATCGAGCTTTTTTTATTACACTCGGGGTCGCGACACTCTGCTTTCCACTACTATTCGTTCTGTTTTATGCGTTCTTTTCTCTCTTTTTTCCAATGGACCACACGCGGACTTATTGATTTTCTACTCTTTGCTGCTAAATCATTTTCCAGAGCATATAACAGTTCATCGACTTTTATTTTCATTTGAATTTCTCGACCAACTGTGATTTCATGTTTTGCTGCGGAAGCCATTCTTCCTACTAATGTTGTAGTTCTTTTCACGAGAATCTCAAAGTTTTCGTGTGAAAATTTCCAAGAATCTTTTTCTTTCGAGAAAGAGAAAATGGAAAAGAAAACAAACGAAAGTGCAGGAACGGCGACAGAGAGGACACTGAGCCAATAACAAAGCTTTGTTAAAGTGTAAACCGACCATAATTTGGGGGCAATATTTATACAGAATCTATGCTCATGCGATGTTACCTACATATGTGTTCGGGAGCACGACCTCGCATCTTTCGTTTTCCCACACAGCGCACGGTGTAAAATGGTATGACACGAGTGAACAGAGAGCCGCGAAAAAAGGCACAAGCAACGCTCCAAAAAGAAGCGTGACCGTGTCGAGTCGGTAGCGCATGCGTTTGGCGCGTTCGTGACGTAGTGACTAGTGCGCGCTCTCTGTGACGCCACACTTGCCGATTGCCCGACCCTCGCCTCGCCAAATACTCTCTATATGTTGCTGCGCCGCTGCTGTATGCGATGTGTGTGAGCGAGTTGTGCGAGCGAGAGAAAGAGAGAGAGGGAGAGAGAGGTAGTGAGAGAGAGAGAGAGAGAGAGAGAGGGAGTGAGAGAGAGAGAGAGCGAGAGAGTCAGCCGACACCCGTAGACCCACTTACCGCTGCTAGCGCGAGCCGCATTCTCGGGCGTTCGTCTCTCGGAAACACGTTGCCACCTCTCTCACTTCTTCACCTTACTTATCTCTTCACTGCAGCACGCAGGCAGAAACAGAAAGAACGAGAAAGAGAGAGGCCGACTTGCTTCTTATCGTTACCGTTAAGCGCGCTTTTCTCTCCCGCCCCCCGAAGTGTTGATTATTATTTTTCAACCCCAATATGTGCCCATTGCCTTGGCTGGTTTTGCCTGAAAACGAGCCAAAGATGACATTTGCCGCTAAAAATACGGCGAAATTTCGCGCGTGCACGAGGAATGTAAAATAAAAAAAGACAGACGGCTGGAGAGTTGCTAGTAGCGCGACGTTGCCAGCTCTCGACCTTCTCTCGCGCGCCGTCGCCGTGAAACGCGAAAAGAGAGAGAGAGAGAGAGAGAGAGAGAGAGAGAGAGACGGAGTGATGTTACCCCCCCTACTTTGGCGCGGAGCCGCCGTAGAGCAGGCAGCTCGGCAGCCGCCGCCGCCGCCGGTCAGTCGCTCGCAGCCTGTGCCCTGTACTACTCGTTGGAGTAAAGACGTGACGCGCGTAATCCGTCATTCAATTCAAAGTGCAACCTACGTACGTACATGCATCCCCCTCTGTAAACCATTTTTTCTCTCTTTCTGCCTGTCTCTCTATATTCCTCTCCGGGTGTCTCTCTCTCGTCGTTTCTCTATCGCGGTCGATAGTATTACAATAGAGTGCTACGACTCGCTCTCGACAGAGTTGCAGAGAAACGAAAACAGTGTGAGTGAGTGTGTAGACCAATCCTGATGTAACGCTGATACGCTCGGCCACAATGGCAGGGGCGAAGCAGCAGCAGTTCAGCGATTGATTTTCGCGTCAGTGGTGTGTCGGGGTGCAAAATTCAAGGAGCAGACGTGTGAAGCGCGTTATCCATATCTCGCTGTTCAGATATTGCCCCAGTGAGTGCAAGATGATGGGAAAACGCACACAGTGCTACTTGTGCGATCTGCCGCGCATGCCGTGGGCCATGATAATGGACTTCTCGGAGCCGGTTTGTCGCGGCTGCGTCAATTACGAGGGCGCCGACCGCATCGACCTGGTGCTCGAGTCGGCCAAGCAGCTGAAGAAGGCCCACGGCTTTCAGACAGACTCGCGGCCCTCGCCGAGTGCCAAGGGCTACCGCACTAGCTCGCACACTGAGCACAACGGTTCGGGCCTCGAGGCCGTACTACCGATGCAGAACGCTGCCGCCGCTGCCGCTGCCGCAGCTCAGGGTCATTCGCGTCACCATATCGCCGCAGGCTACACTCAGCTGCATCATCGCAACTCCATCGGCGAGTTCGCCGCCGCTGCGGCGGCTGCAGCAGTCAACTCGGGCTCCCAGCGTCAGCAACAGCAGCAGGCTGCCCAACAGCAGCAGCAGTTGTCGGCGGCACGCCAGCACCAGTCCCAGCACCAGTCCCACGAAGACGGCCACGAGTTGGCCAACGGGCTACGCTCGAGCGGCCAGGTGCAGCGCATGTCGTCGGCACATCTGAACGCGGTGGCCGCGCACCACGTGGGCTTAGGCCACAGCAGAGCTAGCATCGGCCAGCTAAAGCGTGGCATTTCGGCCATTGACGAGGATGACCACCCTGAGGCTGGCAAGCGGCTCACTCTCGAAGAGCAGCACAGCGTGCGACCGCCGCTTACTCGAGGGGAGTCCCTGCCGGCGGTCAGCTTGGCTGTTAGCTACGTCGACCGTTCCAAGGACAAGCATCCCATCCGTGCGCCCAGCTTCGAAACCGCCACCACCTTCAAAACCAACGGTGAGTTCTCGCAGGACACACGCACGCGCACGTGGGATGCTGTGTCGCCACCTTTTCTCGCGTGCTTATTGTTTCGCTCTCGCAGCTCGCTCCTTCGTGTCTTTTATACCGCAGTTGTGTTTCGCTGCGCGGTACGAAAACTTTCCGTGACGATCACCCGCCGCCGCATGTATCAAAGTTTCGCTCTCGATAAGCTTTATCGGCTGCCTCGCTTGTTCGCATGCTGCTGCGTCACGTTCATTGTCGGCTTCGCTCTCCGCATACTTTGCTCGACGAAGCTCGAGGCTCAAAAATAGCACTGGCTCTTGGCTTCGCTCACCCGCGAGTCAACGTTCTCGAACCTCGCGTGTATTGTGTAACTGTTGAAGCGACAGCTTTTCCAAGACTATTTTAACGCATCTATGTGAGTTGCGTTTTACTCTCGACTAATCTGCGCGTCATTGAAAACCATTCTGTCTGGCTAGATCGAAGGCGGCAGCAAAGGAAATCACGCAAGATCGGCGACAGCCGAATGGCTTGTAATCGCACGCACGGTATCTAGCTCGCTAAAGAGAGAGAGAGAGAGAGAGAGCGAAAGAGAATTGGCTACTAGATGTTTAGCACTACACATGACTGACACACGTGGGTATAGGTAACAGCACTTTTCGAAACTACGTCACGGCGTGATTGCGACACCAGCGTGTAGCATAGTCGAGCGTTGAGCGAGAGCGAGCGACCGTGACATTGAAATTTCGTAAGCAAGAAACTGCGCTAGCCTCTTTCTCCTAAGCTCTCCGGTCGGCCTCTCTCTCTCTCTCTCTCTCTCTCTCTCTCACACCCTCTCTCTCTCTCTTTCTAACCCTTTTTTACTACTTTGTCCTCCTTTGTATGTAAATATCGCGGTGGCTGTGGCCAGCCGATTGCGTAAGCGCTCAGCGCGCGAACTGGCAGGGCAAGCAAGCAAACAAGTAGCATCGCGTTGCGGCAACGTACGAAAATAAATGAAATTAAAGGCTTGGCCGGTCGTGCCCGGGGAGGACGTGACTCTCCGGCTGCGTGACCTTCGCTCGTCTTCGACGAGAAAAAGAAAGAGCGGAAGAGCAACGTAGCACGGGCTGCGGCGTACGTTGCTTCTTGCATTATAGCTGTTTTCTCCTCGTAAAGGTATCGTCGCTCGCTCGCGAAATGCACGTCGCATAAAAAGCCGGCAAAGTGGCACTTGTCCAGTGGTGCGCTCACGTGACGGCTGGTGGGGGCTCCTGGCGCGCCTGCACGGCGCACAGCGAGAGGGATATATCGTGACGCCGCTCGTTGCTGCTTACTGCTCGCGCTGTTGTGACGTCACTGCCTCGCCACAAGCATATACATATAGGTATACTTAGAGCGGTGAATGGCCCGTCGCCGACTGTGCGTACGTGCTATGCGCTTTGGATTTTCACTTTCGTACGTGTCGTCAATTCGGGAAGGACCGCGTACGTTTGCACGCCGCGATTGTCCGGGGCGCTGTGCAAGTCCCAGTCGATCGTGTGGACGTGCGTACGCGCCGTACGTTCGTGGTGGTGGCGAGAGCGAGGAAGGGAGCGCGACAAAACAAGCAGCTCGACGCACACGTGCGCATCGAGAAAACGAGTTCCGCGGGGCCGCCGTCGCGTTACGTTCTCGCTCTACTTGCTCGTCGCCGCCGCCGCCGCCGCCGCCATGAAACGGTGGAGGAGGCCGCGCCGAGTAAAATCCGAGCCGCCGCCGTACACGCATACACACTCGTGACGTGCACGCGACGACGAGAGCAGCGTTAGGTCGCTCGCGCATGCGTGCTTCGCTGGCGTGGGACGTGCAGCGCGCGATACACGTACACGAGCTTACGCGTCGAGTGTGCGCCCGCGCGCCAAACTTTTCATTCCAAACTCTCTCTATCTCTCTTTCTCTTTCGACTCGAGTTGGCTAATAAACATCTTTAAAATTAGACTTTTAAAATAAACTTTCCGTTAGCCAAGCCAAGCCCGTTCGATTAGCATATGGCGCGAGCGCGTGCGACGAGCTGTGTGTAGTCGATAATCGAAAAAAGTGATTATAAAATAAAGAGAGTCTGCGGCGGTGGCGACGGCTTAGGTCATTCTCGTGGCGGGGCAGGAAATATCGGTCACGGATCGCCTCGAGGCACACGAGCGTTCGCTCGCTCGCTCTGCTTTCAGCCAGCCGTTAGTATTCTTTTTTTTTTTTTTTTTTTTTTTTTTGCGCCGGCGCGATATTCGCGTGGAGCCAGCTAGTATGACTATGTATAACTGTAGCCTGGCCTCCTTCTTCGGCTCTATATAATGCGTTCGTTGTACGTTGAGGCGGTGGACGCTGCTTGCTTTTTTCCCAGTGATCGGTGTTCGTGCATCGATCGATGGGCCGATGTCGTTTTTCGCGAGCCGCGTAACCGACAGTCGCAGCGGCTCTCTCGCCATGCAAGAGTAATCGAATAAGCAATGCGGCGTGTCGGTAAAATGGAGCACGCGGAAAGGAAGAACTGCCCGGCCGGCACTGCGCATCGCCGCGGCCAAATTCGACTCGGAACCGAGTCAGCAGCGCTTGAATCTTCCAAAAGCCATCGGACATCGGGCGCGCCGCTGGTGCTGCTGCAATGTAGTATAGAGCGACGGCCGCTGCAGTCAACGCTGTCCCTCTGCATCAGGCCGTTATTGCAGGCTTTCGCGCCTACAGTAATCTTGTTAAAATCGACTTTTCCCATTGTTCGCTAGCCGCTGCAACGACGTATCACGCGGGTCTCTATCACCAAACCATGAACGCTTATTATGCGTCTTTGCTGACTTCTCATCTCTTCCTAGTACTGGTCCAGAAGAGAACATTTGCATTGCAAACGAGGCTTCTTAATTGATCAATAAAATTCCACGAGATCGAACTGGAAGTGGCCGTTGGCCCGCCAACAGTGCGACTCGCGTCAATACAAATGCAAGAGAGAAGCGCGCGTACCTCCCGTGGACTCCCTCGAGAATCCTGTTTGAAGATCGACCTAACGGCTTTCCTCTTCGGTCCACTCGTCCAAATAATCGGAGCGCTGCTCTCACACTCTCGTACTACGAAGTATGTCTCCTTAGCGCGCCGATTCTCTCCGTAGCTATGTAATCTGCAAAGACGACCACGAGGGACCATTGCTGCAATCATTCACTCGGCTCTTGGCTCGAACACTTTTATTGGTCGCGCAGAGCTAATCGGCTCGTGAGTTTACGAGGTTATTGGCCCTTTTCTCCTTCGATTAGTCGCCGCTCTGCCATTGATCGCTCGTCTACCGCCGATGCTTTTGCGTTCGAGTGCCGTTCACCTCTCTTCGTCATGCCGAGAGCCAGTTTCATCGACGGTCGCCACTTTTGCCCGCCAGAGCTTCTGCGAGCTGTTACGCTCCTCTCGCCGTCACTTGCCTCGACACAACGACTCTTCGCTCTGGCTTCGCTTGTCGTCGTGCGACGCTCTCCCGACTCTGCCCCAAAATACACTGAGCCAGCCGATACGTGGCCGCCATCGCGCGCGTCAGTGATACTCCCGTGCAACTTGCCGCTACGGAATCGTCCATGTGCAATCGAGCCGAAGGCCTGCTGCCGAAGAGTTGGCCTCGCGCGTTCTTGAAAGAATAACGTGCCAGGAGCTCTCGTCCTGGTTCACTTTCTCTCACTCGCTCTCTTTACGAAGCAGACCTGTGCGCGCGCGCGTTCGTCTGCTCGATTCCGCAGCAGCGGCTGCTATTTTCGGGTCAGACGGGGCGTGAAAGTAGCGATCGTCTGGAAATAGCGCCATTCGACGGGCTTTCCTCCGAGTCGGGGGCTTTGTTTGGTGGAGCAGTCGCGCGATCCTAGACGACGATACGACGACGTTGCGGCGGGAGGTATCCGGGCGTCGATCGAACGAGATCTTTTATCTTGGTGCACTCGAGCCGCTTTCGTGCGCGCTCTCCGGGCTTGTCTGCCGCTAAAAATATCGCTCGCCAACGTCCAGCGCGACTCGGCGGCCGAGCTCCGACGAAGTGCGAGTGTCGCGCGCAGCTCGGCGATCGAGCTAAGCGTGCGTACGCGGATCACCGATGACCCAACGGCACGAGTGAGCGAGCGAGCGAGTGAGAGAGAGAGAGAGAGAGAGAGAGAGAGAGAGAGAGAGAGAGAGAGAGAGAGAGAGAGAGAGAGAGAGAGAGAGAGAGAGAGAGAGAGAGAGACAGAGACAGACAGACAGACACGGAGAGGCTGGCCACGAAGAAACCAGTAAACAAGCTGCATGCGGCTACATGGCGCGTAGCACGTGCTCGCGAGGTGCGTTGCGCAAGCTTCGCGGCCTTTCGCAAGATAGCCGGAGGTGCAGTCGAGCGCGCGCAGGCGCCTCCATCCTTCTCGGACACGGCGCCATGCTTTGCCCGCTTGTATTGACTCGTAGACGCGCAATTCGTTCACGCGGATTTGGAAGTCGCCTGCCGACTGATGTGCTATTGATGACACGTCAATAACAACGCGTGCGTGGCTATTAGTGGGAACGTTCGATTGTTATGTCTTATTTTTTCGATAGATTCGCACGGGATGTAAACGATCGTATACGATCTTGTGGTGCGCGAGCAAGACCCAAGCCATTGAAATAGAAACGCTCGTCGCCGAAATATACATTGTTCGCGGGAGCGCGGACGGTCGGCGTGAATTTGGCGTAGAAAGCAGTGGAGCCCGCGCCGGAGGAATAGCTGCGTTGACGCGGTGCTCTGTGGGTTGGGTCGCTCCGCCACGATTATCGGTTTACGAGCGCGGAGTCGGGCGTCAGCGCCGGAAGCAGCTGCTTCGGCGAAGCTTCAGCTGTTGGCGTTCGATCGGCGGGCGGGCCGGTGGACGGTCGGGCGCTGCGAGTGGCTGCATTTTTAAAGCTAATTGCCGCAGCGCAGCGCCTCGGCTGCATGCGACGACGATGAAAATAGAGCTTGCGATCGATGCCGCCGCTGCTCGCCCGCCACCCGCCGCAACCGCGAGCGCTCGCGAGCTGAATGAAGCAACGCCGGATATGAATGGCTTCGCAGTGTTCGCGTCCATGCGACGGCTGGCTTTTTGGCACGGTGTGTGCACCTTGCCGCGTGGCTCCCCTGCGCGTCGGGGCTTGTCCCATTGTCCGACCTTGTTCGCCGCTGGCTTTTTAGCGTCGCTACGCTCGTCCGACGGGATGCGCGGCAATGCAACGACCGTAGCACTCGCCTGCACTCTTTCGGACACACCTAGCGCGCCGCCTTTTTTTTCGTCGTCGCGTCGCTTTGTTCTCGCTGCGCGCTCGATTGCAATTCCCGTGCAAAACTGGGCGCGTTAGAGTCGGGCTGCCTCGTTGCCTTCCGTACTCGGGCGTCCCTTCCCATCCTCGCGCGTTCCTTTGATTACGACGTCGTGGCACGCAGCCGATCTCCGTCGCTCGGTTGGTGACCGCTCCCCCTTCCCTCTTGTATTTTCGTTGGCGCTAGCGTGCGTCACGTTATATTTCTTGGTTTCTCCCTCTCCAGATTGAATGTGTTCTTTTAGCGAATTCATTGCGTGATTCAATCGGACGAACGGTTAAATATATACGACTGGGCATGACCGCTAGCAACGTTTGCCAGAGCGCTCGTGCGCGCGCCTGTCAGTCTCTCTCTCTCTCTGCTGCTATTTTTCTGAAAGTGTTATTACGTTTGCCACGCGATGCCCTAAAAGTCGAGCTCGTATTGATTTGTCCAAGACTAGCAAGATCTGTACGCGGCAAAGACGAACGGGAGACGTTTGCGCGGTACGCGCGCAAAAGATTGGGGGCGCGACGACAGATCGAGCGGCTCGTTCGCGCTCGCGAGAACAGGGCGCCTGCGTGATAGCTGTGCGCGAGGCAACAACGAAGCAAATTTCCGGACGGGTAAGATCGCGTTGCCAAGGCAAAAACAAAGCGAAGCGTTGTCCGTTAACGGTCGTGCGATCGGTTCGCCGGGAAAATAAACAGTCGCTCTCGCTAGCGATTCGTGTACACATGGACGTGGGCAAGAATAAACAGACGAACGCTTGTGTAAGTCGCTCGGAGCTATTCGCTTTCGAGCACGAGGTGTGAAAAGGCGCGGAGTGGCAGGTGCGTGGCCTGGGAGCTTTCGTATTCCTTGGATGCCGCGGTACGGGGAAGCTCTCCGGCGTGCTTTCCGTGGTTCCACGGCCAGCGCCGCCCGTCACGGAAAACTACCGGTCACATGTTGGCCCGCTGCTGCTGTGCGAGCTTCTCCGCGATATCGCGTGTGTTTGCTTGGCGATGATTCACGGCCGCCGCTTTTAGCGCGTCCCGCCCGCTTCTCTCTCTCTCTCTCCCTCTCTCTCTCTGCCCGTTCCGTTTATTAGCGTGCTCGCGGGAATTTTGCGCGATACTGTTATCTCTACAGCGCAACTCGCGTCTATTTGACGAGCCGTACTATTCGCGGATAGATAAGGCGCCAAATGTGCGCGGCTAACAATTAAACTTGGAAATCTCGATAGGCTTACGTAATATTATTCGATGTTAGGTCGTTTGCCCGTCGAGCGTCTCACTTTCATTCCTGAAATCGAGGCGCAAACGCTCTGCTCGTTCGAGAACTCGGTCGCCAGAAGCTACGCGGCACGCGCGCGAATGAGCGCCGAAAGCCAACGAGGCGCAGCTGGCGCGCTTTAGGTAGATGCAGCGCGCTTTAGGTAGATGCAGCGCGCTTAGCTTCGTTTCGCCCGCGCCGAAAAACCAAAGACGAGGCCAGCTGCGACATGAGTTGCCGACTCACGTGCAGTCTCGCGCCTTCCCCTCACGTGTCCTGTCGCCGCCGCCGCCGCGCTAACTCTCCTTCCTCTTCTTTTCCTCTTGTTGCGTTCTCTCGAAAACAGGATGCGCGCGTCTGTCGGTCGCGCCACTCGAATGTGTTGTGTGCGAACGTCGCGCGTCGACGACGCAGCGTTGCACAGCGCCGTGCAAAGCGGCAAAACAAAGCCGCTCGAAAGGCAGTCCGACGGGACATCACCTGATGCGCTGGCGAGTGGAACAGCTGCTGTCAGCGCGGCCCACGTGCTCTTTTCGGCTTGCCGATGTCACGGCAGCTGCTTATCTCACCGAAACGAAGCTACGATCGATACGTGTAGCGCCAGCTATTGAAGCTCTGACCCAGGATTTTTCTGCAGACAGCTTTTCTCTCCACGAACAGGCGTTCGCGTATGTGGCATCGTCACTCCTCCAAGGTCAAAATTTAACTTCAACTGCTTTCCGTACGCTCGCGTATGTCGACCGACTCCGCATCGCTTAATAGCCATTTTTATCTGTCTCTCTCTCTCTCTCTCTCTCTCTCTCTCTCTCTCTCTCTCTCTCTCTCTCTCTCTCTCTCGTTGATTTACGACAAAACACACCTGCACGTTGTCCCGGCGACAATTCGTCATTTGTTATAAAAACGACGTGACTCAGTGTGAGTCAGCCTCGCGACGGCGAAAAATACAGCAGCGAGCGGCTCGCAATGGGAAGAGGCGCCGTGAGCGCGCTTCATTCATATCGCGCGCTCTGCTAGCGCGGCCCTGAAAGCGCGCAGCGACCGACATCGGCGAAGCGCCCCGCATCCTTTGCCAAGCTAGCGGCGGCGCTGGCGTGACGCGGCCGCGTTATTACGTCGAGCCGGCGCTATATAACGCGGCGAGCCAACGTTCACGAGCCGCAGCTTGTGCAGTTACGTAACGGACGCGGACAGCAAACGCCTGTGTATTTCGCCGCGCTCGCCGCTCGTTCTAGCCAACTTTGGCCAGCTTGAGCGGGCTTAGTCATGAATGCGCGGGAAAAGGCAGTGCGCCCGAGCGAATTTCCTTGGGCTTCGAGGCGCCTCAATGTTGATTCTTCGAAGGCTTTTCGAATTCTCGGCAGCCCGCGTGCACTTGAACGGCGCTCTTCCGAGTCTGAATGTCGATCGAATATTCATTATCCAATTATCATCTGCCAGAGAAGTTCGCAACGATTTTCATGAGCGCAACCCAGGAAACTCGTGTCGCAGAAAAACAACGAATAAAAAGTGTACGGTGTACAGTTATACGCATGTCAGCATTGCAATGCACAGGCACGTCGCCGGTGAATATGAATGAAACTGCACGGATGGAGATTACAATCTTTCTGCAGGTAGGCAGAAAGAAAAAAAGCAGGGAGAGGGAAACGAGCGCGCGCGAATGATGAAATCAAGTCTGCAGTCAGCTCGTAAACTTGAAATCGAAAGTTGTCCCTATTAGCGCGATGGTGGCGGCGGCGGCGGCGGCGGCGGCGGCTGAGCACGTGCACTAGGATTACCGGGCGGCAAACGACGGTAACGTTCGTGGCAGAGGCAGTGATTTTTCCTTCTCAGTCGGTCGATCAAAACGTGCCCGGGCTAATGAAAACCGATGAAAGCCCAATTAGCATATTATCAGATGAGCGTCTATGTGCCGTTGCCGCCGCGTCGTCGACTGGCTCGTCGTTTTAAGAATTCCAGGACTTCTCGTCCCGGTGCAAGCGGCCCACCGATGATGATAAAATCGTAAACACGTGCTTGTGGTAAGCAGCGCACAATGACTTTTTCGGCAGAATAGGTGTACATATAGCGAGCGAAACGCTATGCAGCGAATCGCGACGCGAATCGCCAAGCAGCTGCCGCGTGCTGTTCGCGCTATTTCGCGGGCTGAAACTTGGATGTCTATCTCGTATGCCACTCGTGTCGTCGGCCTTTTGTAAACTTGTAAATGCCACTAAACAAAGCACTCGCGTCGCGCAGTCCTAGTTTCCTTTTTCTTTTTTTCAGCCTCTATTTTCGTGCGTCGGTTGACCTTCATTTGCTCTCCGCATATATTTTTAAAAAATTTTTTCCCCATCTTTCTCACGAGCAGTCTGCACCACGGCTTTTCAAAACAGTCAGAGTTGCGTGTGACTCAGCTTTGTGTGCAACGAGAGCGAAACATGATTACGAAGCGATATATGGAAAAACGAACGACTACGCGATTACAATCAGGAAAAAAACACGACGACCAAAGTGGAAAAGTGGTTGTTTTTTCATAGCGACACGTCAAAACACGGGCAATCCCATCTCTCAAGCGAGAGCGACAAGGTAAATCCGTGTGTACGAGTGATTGACGTTAATTCGTTTTGCAGGAGCGTACGTTGGACCATCGATTCCCTTGGCGCCGGCCAATGTGGCAACCAACGGCGGCGGTTCGCCGTTGCGTCCCAGGAATAGTCCACCACCGCCACCCCCGCCATCCGTTCAGGAGGCCGCCCAAGACGGACAGTCCTCCAATCATCATCAGGTCAGTTTTAGCCTTTTATCGTCAACTATCTTTCGTTTAATTTTCGCCAGCAGCACGTTCAGATGTTTTGCTGTATCCTTAAAATTTGCTACATCCGATACAAAGTCATAGAGTATTGCTTTAAAACTTGAGAACCTTCGACGTATTTACGTAGGCTAATTTTGGTTTTATACGAAACAATTGTAGAAACCAGGAAAAGGAAAAAACTTCCGAAGTCTTCTCACGCCGAGTAAACAGCTTTATATCATCGGAATGTTTGATTTTTGCACATTTTGAGAAAATAATCGAAAAAAGTGAGCGTATTTAATATTTGTGAAATTCTTCTAAATGAATGTCAACTCCGATCTGACGTTATATAAAATCAGCGAACGAATTCTATTCATCAACGTAATTATCTCATCGAATTCGTAACGATCAATTGCTGCAAAATAATCTGGAGAGGAGACTTGGTCAGCTGTTAGCCAACTTGAGCACTAGCGACTCGACCTTTGGGCCAATTAAAAATAATGAAGTTGACTCGATCGATCGGTTGCATATACGTACACTATCTCCGGTATTATCAGTATTTACGCCTTTTCCTGTAGCTCGGTAGGTAAACCGATAGTCGGTATCGCGCGAGTTAAGACAAAGAGAAAAAACCGAACGAGATACGGCAGTCAATAGTCATACATTCGTTATCCGTCTGCAGTGTGTACACTTGGTGGAATCGGTTCTAAATGGTTCGGATCAAAAGGCTTTTGCTGAGACGACAGGCACACGCATGATTGGCCATGTAAGTATAATGCCTGATAAGCTACGACGATAGTGCTGCTGAGATGCAAGAAATAAACGCCCCTCTTCTTTCTTTCGCTACCGATAAGAGGAGGCAAGTTACGTAATTCTCACGAGCCGCAGCAAAACAAAATTTATCGCGCCTTCCGCGAACGAAAAAAAAGTCAAGCGTTGCTTTACTTCTATACATCGATCTTTAATCTTTGCTAATGAAATTGAAATTTCGAGACGCGCGCACGTGCGTGCAGAGATAACAATGTAATCGTTATCGAGATTTTATTGCCACGTGTACGTTTACGCGTATGTATTAAGTCTCCACGAGTTGCTGATTTTGTCTCTGTCGAATGACGTCAATGATGCACTAAGTGAAAAAAACTCTTCCCTGAAGAATTTCCTTATAACAATACTATGTCCTCTTCTTATGAGGAAACGTTTTCTTTAGTTTACTTTGTGGCAACCAGAAGAGTGCAATTAATCACTTGATTATGCCTTGTGATTAACAAAAGTCAAACAATCTCGGTGCAATTAATTAGTTGTTCGTCGATTGTATCCAGTTAATGCTGCTGTGCAATTAATAACATCAAATATTGTTTATTTACAGGGTTCTGGAGGGGGACCATCACCAATGGCAGCACTAATGTCGGTAGCAGATAACTTGACATCACCAGAATCGGTGCCTCAGCCACCGAACAATCCGAGCCCGACCAGTCGAAGCCCACCGACTACAGCTATTAATGTTCAACAAAGAAGCGCCTCCCGAGGCTCTCAACACAGCCCTAACAGCTCCGGTAATTACCGTATCTATTCGATCGTAGAACGCTTTCTAGACACAGTTTTTCCTATTAGTTATATATTGGTCCATATTGCGTATTTATCTTTGCGTATCAAATAACAACTTTTCAATTCGTTTGACAGTAAGTAACATTCGATCAATTTTTAGGCCTTGACAGGGTGATATTAAACGTCACTGAAACTTCAGCTGATTTTTTCAAATGAATAAATTGGCTCGAAAAAGTCTCAAGGCGAACAAATTTTTTATTTGATTATCTGAGCAATTCCTTTATATTTTTTATATTTTCTATCAATAAATTGTTTAGAGCTGCATTTTAATATGATGTATCGAGGCGAGCTTGTAAGATAATTAGAACAAGAAATTTGTTGCACTAACAATTGATAGGATTATAGCGTTAAATGCATGCCATAATACTAAATTGAAGATGCGTAAAAGTTTAAATTCGATAATAAAAGTACATAATGTATTTAAATGTAAACTCGTTGTGTAAATGAAAGAGCAAATAAATTGACATGAATGTTGAACATTGTGATTTTGCAGCTTCATCAGGGCGGAGGTCGAGCGGCTCAAGACACGTGTCATCGACAACTGTGACAACGTCATCCGAGGGTGCAGTCGCTCAATCAGCAGGTGCTGAGGCCGTAGCTCCACCCACTCTCAAGTGCACCCTGTGTCAGGAACGCCTTGAAGATACTCATTTCGTTCAGTGTCCAAGCGTACCGCACCATAAATTCTGTTTCCCTTGCAGCCGGGAAAGTATCAAGCGCCAAGGAGCCGGCACTGAGGTTAGTTTCACTGTTTACACTTTCGACCGCCCGCAACACTTGCGTGACAAGTGAGCTTGCAAATAGACAAAATGTACTGCAATTCTGTAGAAGATTAATAAATGCATTACAGTAAATACATTTTTATAGCTCTGGCGAATGATAAGATCATATATAACATGACATTGTTCATTTGCATTAAGCAAATTGCAGAAGTCGCAGTATACGAAGTCCTGTAATTTATCAATCAGTACGAATGATCGAGCTTGATATCTGAATAAATGAGCAAATAAGCGTTGTCGTAAACGTAATTGGTCTAACATTGTACTTGTGATTGCAGGTCTACTGCCCAAGTGGCGAAAAATGTCCCTTGGCTAACAGTTCAGTGCCATGGGCTTTTATGCAGGGTGAGATAGCGACAATCCTCGGCGAGGATACGCCAAGTACTGGCCTCAAAGTGAAGAAAGAACGCGAGACTTAAGCTATGTCATCCAAGTGATGCACAATTTGGTGAAAAGATCAAATTTTATCGTCTCTTTTGCGAGGCGACATTGCTCTTGTTATCGAGACACGTCGGCTAAACGCGATCATTTTGAATAAGGCGCTTGCCTGTTGCAGACAACGGGCCGTGGAGGCTTGCAACAGCGAGTTTGTTTTATCTTTGGTCGTTCAACCATCAATGCCAACGAATTAAAAAAAAATTCAATAGATTCTAATCGACAAAGCGACGTGTTACTGGAATGGTAGTTGGCGTCCTAATTGGACACCGACATACGTCAGGCCGAAGACGTTTTAAATTTGGCTTCATGCGACGCGCTGTGATGAAAGATACGTTTAACGTTGAAACTTCTTTTTTCTTTTTTGTATTTAAGCAAGGTCAAAAGACGACGCCAAGAAGAGAACTTTTTTTTGCACGACGAAGGCGTCATCAGTTTGTCAATTTTGGAGAATCGCGTAAATTATTTTTTATTTTATTTTTTTTTTTTGAAAGAGTGATTGTCGGTTTTGAGCAGCAGTCTTTGGCAAACTTGACGACTGGAATGGTTTGTAAATATGAAACGAGTACTAAAAGGAAGTTAAAAAAACAGATACGAAGTTTAAGTAATAAGCAGCATTTTGCGACGAAATAAAAACATATTAACGACGTAACATTAACAAAAGACGGGATTAAGGAGAAATCAGTTAATTATGTAGGCGGTATACTAATCGTTATCGATTTCAACAAAACTAAAATTTATACCCAATCATGGGTTTGTACTTAGGCTATACCGCCATCATATTCATTGTATATTTGCCGAGCGTTATTTGTGACAAGCAACTACGCTCCTACGACTCTAAAATCCTTTACGACTTTTATTATAACACTGCTCTAGATTTTTTTATTTTTACAATGGCGTTACAGTACGATTTATTTCACGCTTAGTCAAACGTCTCCGTCTGCGTTGTTCGAATGTCGACGCTTTTAATTTACTTTTTTTCATTTATTTCTCTTTCTATACTTTTCTCTTGTATTATATACTTAAACATGACGGATATTTTAGCCCAGCGTTCTTGGGCGTTCTGTACATTGTGTATATGTGTACATATATATTATTACATTTAATATTATTATAAACAATAAAGAAGTAATTTGTATGGTTGAGAAAGTAAGCATCTTTTAATGTACAAAAAGAATCTTATATTGCGTTTTTCAATAAATTATATTCTTTACGTTTAATGCACAAGTCGTAACGAACGTCCTCGGATACGCCTTTTTGACCGAGGTAGTAACGTGCATGCGTTGCTTTGTATCTCGTTTCGTTTACTTCATTACACTCCCGCCCCCCATTTTTTATATATATCTTAGTAAATGTCATCAAAAAAAAAATATAAAAATGATAAAAAATCAGCTTTTTAAATACATCAACGAGACTACGCTGAACAGTTCCGCAAATTTGTCGATGTCAATGGGTTGAGTAAATTAAGCGTAGAAGGAATTTTTTTTTTCAATTTGAAAGTTCCGAAGTAATGCCTCAACCCAGATAATAGCGTCGTCATTTTCAGTTTAACGCTAGACTTTAAAGTGAGGGCTTTCCGACGTTTCATTTCTGTAATGAAAAATATAAAACTGAAACGAGAACAAACATGAAATTTCCGTATAAACTTATTCGACTTGGAACGCTCTGTAAAAAAGCGAATGATTGAGACAGGAAAGAATTTGTTTACCGCAAAAGAATTAATTGATTCGAAATTACTCCGTTACGTTTTTGACGATGTCTACTGGCTGAATAAAGAATTCGAATTGAAAAAGTATATGTATCTTCATTCGGATATGTAAACTAAGAAATGGAGAGAACTTGTTCACACTTTAGTTTAACGCTAGACTTTAAGTGAGGGCTTTTTAATTTTTCATTTATCCGATGAAAAAAGAACATTGCCCGACATATAGGAACCACACACTCGCTACGTCTGAAAAGTTTTTAAAAAAGGGGGGAAATCGTGTGTTTCGCTCGCTTCCAGGGCAACACTTCCTTTCTATCTTAATTAATATTTTTTTATTTTTCGTTTTTGTAATAATTGATGTAAACTGCGATGACAACTCGCGCCCTGGACGCATAAGTCTTTTTGTATGTGTAAATATATTTGTACAGAAGCGAAGAAAAATAAATAGGATTTGGCATGCGTCGTGAAAATTGTAAAAGAAGCGCATGTCAATTGGCGGAGAAGTTGTCGCCAGCTCCGTAACGTCTTGACGAGGTCTGCAAATGTAAATCCTCCTTGATTTTTGCCAAATTTGTTAATGCGCGTCATTTACAAATTGTCGAGTAATGACGTACCTGAGTGCTCGTGACAACTTCTCGATTAATGCGCCTGTTTTTTGTTTTTTTTTTCTTTTTTTCCGTTTTTTCCTCAATTTGATTGTAAAGCGCCGACACGTTATGCACATTATTTATGCACACTCTGAATAAAATTTTTAATAAAACTACATTACAATAAAAATATAAAATCCAAGTAGCTTTTTCTTAATGTTATGGTAGTTCCTACCCAATGCCAATATGCTGTGAATTTGATTTCTTATATTATTTTTCTCTTTACCTTTGCTCAACAAATATTTGTACGATAACGTCGACTATTATTTCTCTTGTAATAGTAAACATGTAAAGAGCAAAGAAAAATTTTAGCAAGTGCTGTTTGATGGACGAGAGATTGATTTGATAAGCGTATCTGTGCGTGTGAAAGAAAGTGCGAGGAGCATGCGAGCGTAGCGGTGATGCATGCGTCTTGATCGTGAAGGCGATAAAATCGTATGGTTGTCGCAGGAAAATAAAAACTCTGAAAGTTCGTTTTTTCACGCAATGGCATAACTATGAAGAGGAGACAGTTGTCATTTTTACGAGGTCAAGAATAATATAAGGATATTAATAATTAATTAGTAATAAAATAAAAAGGACAAAAGACAAACAAAATAAAATAAGAGAAGCAAGAATGCAGTAGTTATGTACTTGAATGTTAGTATATTCGCCTAACCGATCGTGTAAGTCAGGAAAAATGTGAGACTCGCAGCAGGTTTGCGCAGCTCTTATCGTTTAGAATTTCACCTCGTGGCATCTCTCCTTTGAGACAGGCAAAGATAGACGCGGATACACAGGCACGCAAACAAAGCTCTCACCTACACTCAAATAAAAAAGCTGTATTCTTTGTTACTTAATTCTGTCGAGCCGTTGGTTTTATTCACGCTACAGTGAATTCGACAATTTGTTGAAATAAGAAGCAAACTCGTACCCCGAGAATATATGTATATGTGTATAACAGGTTTAATAGCCACACTTTGAAAAAGCCGATGCAAAGTCGCATTTTTTCTGGCCGTAGCGCGTACAAAGTAGGCACGTCTTCCCGAGAAAAAGAAATACGAAACGAAGCTATAAACAAATAAAAGAAACAAGCCGAAAAAGAAATGGATTAACTCGACACGACGAGGGAAAGTAGCTGAGATGGCAAATGTGGCAAAAGAAGTAAAATGTATAAGCAGTCATTCCCTACTTTTGTACGACCCGATTTGTTTTTCTATGATTCTTGTACACACGAGCGCAATAACTATGGTCATTAAAAAGTGAAGAATTAAGAAACCACGTAATTTTACTTAGCATCTACAGTAGCGAATAATACGATTTTCTAGTGTACCATACTTTGACAAACGCGTTACACTGTACTGTTTATCGTATGTATGCATACTGCAAAGCAAAATATATGTGTTGATGTGTAACAATTGCTGTTTTTTTATTCATTCGACCCTTACTCATTACTGCCCATCGCGACTTATGCTGACTATTTATTTTCAAATTACAAAGCAGTGATAATAATTATGCTATTTTTTTTATTTTATAAGAAAGGAAAAGAACTGTCAAGAAGTTGATTGATTCTGCCAAAATAGTAAAAACCGCTAGATGACTATCAGATCAGCCTAAGCCTAGCCTATTTACTTCATATTATCTTGATTGCATTTGTCGAGGAATCAAAGCAGATTATTTTCGAACAAACAAGTAGAAAGTTCATCTAACCTACAACTTGTAATGCTGTTCTGTTTCTATAGATGGCATCTTCAAAATGATGATAATTGCGAGTGGCAAAAAACACTGAAAATTGATATATAAGCGGATCTTGTTGACCTGCACGGGTAGGTCGGTTTGGTTGCGTATGTTTGTGGACCCGCTGCTCCGAACGATGTGTCCTCGGACACCCAGGAAACAGCGATCCAATAACCCAATTAACTTTATATCCAACGCGGTTTTTCTTAGTCATTTGGGTTCCCAAAAAACCAGGAAATGACCAATGCATATGCTCGGACCGGCTGTTATTTTGCCGCTGTTTTTATTATTCATGCTTTGTAGGTCGATCAAAGCGTTAAAAATATAAAAATGAAATGATCGATCGATGGCTTGCAGGATTGGTTGAATGACGCGAAAGCAAAGTGATGCGGGACAATTAAAATAGACGGTCGTGCCGGTACGGGTTGGGGAGGGGTTGGGGGGGGGGCGATGGCTCCGGACGCACGAGCGCAATATTGATCGCGCCCTTTCCTTCTCCTACTGTCTGGCTGCGGACTCGGCGACGGCTGACGTACGCGTAAGCACACAAGCTGCTACTGCCACGCGTTGCGCACCGCTTACTTCGCCGCTTTTTTTACCGCGCGCTGTCTATCGTCGTTGCTTTCATAGTTAATGGCTGTCCGACAAATCAGCTAGCAGCCTTGTGGGCAGCTCCGTTGAGCGACTTGGCTTTTGGCAGAGCAGATAGGCCGCAAAGGTCGGACAATGGGAAAGGGAAGAGCTGTCGATAGCGCACGGCGGCGCGACGGACAGCTGCGTCGTTCAGCCCACAAAAGCGAGAGCGCAACGCGCATAGAGCACGTGCTCGCCGCCCCGGCACATTCGCTCTAAAGGCCGATCGATATCGCATATCGCGCTACACACGCTATCGCTGGCGGAGCTGTTACGCAGCCATGACGACGACGCTACACGGGATCTCGCTTGCCGCGGCTCCGGGACTAGCGTCCATGAATATTTTACGTATGCGCGCTTCATTGTCGCCGCACGCTGTTTTATTAATAGAGCCTCTATATAGTGCCATACGTACAAACGTTTGCTTCCATTCAATGCTGTTTTTTATGTCAGACGCTCTCTATATTCGCATATAATCTACTTTCGAGAAATAGGTGGGCAATAATAATACATACTATTAGCTTCGAATGAATAGACCCCGACAGATTTGTTTACTCATTGTTATATCTATAATTTCCCATCTTCGGTACGCACAAGATTGTCTCTACGCGTGGTTTTCTATTTCAGGAGTGAAGAGAGCAGGAATCTTGGCACTGCGAGACAACTGACAGCAAGCAAGCGAAAGCAAGATAAGGCCACCATGCCGGCGGTCACGTGGATCGATATGCAACCGGAGTCATCATCGAGAACCAGCCTGAAAAGTTTCAGCGATTATCTGGTAGATTCCCTTCCCTTCGAATTCCGGAATGAGCATCACTTTGCGATATGTCATATTCACATGAACGGTACATCTAATGTTTTCAGACTGAAACTGCCGAAGATGCGCCGGTTTTCACTCCATCCAACAGATTACGCTTGAGTCCAGAAACACTGAATGCCTTGGACAATGCCGAGAAGCTCGTCGACGACGTTGAAAGACAACTGTCGCAAATGCGCCTCGACGATTCCCTTTCGGACGATACCGAAGAGGACGGGTGAGTAGCCTTGCTCGTAAACGTTTCGACGCTAGCTCAGCCTCTCTCGCGCCCTTTCAACTTTGCAGATTCGGTGGCTTCCAGCTCAGCGACGAACGCCTGCGCGTAGAAAGCCTCGTGAAGACCGTTTTCCAAAAAGGTTACTACGAGCCAGCCCCGCGGACAGTTTTCAACAGGGATCGCATCGCCTGGAAATGCACGAGGGACAGCTTGCCGCAGCGCGGAACCTCGAGAGTGTTACCGACGACGATCGATAGACGCGCGGCGCCGGTGCCGGCCGACAAATGTCTACTGTGCAGATTCAACAAAGCCGACGAGTCAGCGAACCAAGTTGGATTCGACGGGCGCGAAGCCGCGCGAACGTCGGCAGGCCGCGCGGAAGGGCCGAAAATCGCCGAGGACAGGCCGGAAAAGCTGAACGTGCAAGTGGGACCGGCCGTCAGCATCAGAGGCACCCTGGCCGTCCAAACTGCCAGAATCGTCGACATCCAGCCGACTCAGCAGGCCGCCGCGCGGCGCCCGCCAAATATCGCCACTCACGAGTGCCGACATCTCGGCGCGAGCGACGAGTTGCCGGCCGCATCGATTGCCGGCGCGCCACAATTGGAGCGGGACAGGCTCGAAATATCATCCGATCGGCAGAAGTCCAGTAATAAATCAGCCTTCGATTATAGACGAAAGAGCGGCGACAGCGACGCATCGATCGCCGACGAGCCAAGTCGCTTCTGGTACGCTGGCGAATACGAGCAACTGCATCTCGATGACTTGAGCTTGCCGGAGCCAACGATCCTCGTGGAAGTTGACGCGGTTCTGCAGCAGCAGCGCAACGTTATACGACAGGTGCACCAGGCTGCCGAACAATTCGATCGATTTCTTGCCGAAAGAATGACCGCTCAACGGTCCGATGCGAGTTTGCATGAGACTGACAGATCTGCCGGTCGTCCCGTCCGTGAGACGTTGGCTAAAATCGAGGATCAACTCGATAGAAATAACAAAATCAATTCTTTCCACGAGAACCCAACGATAAGTTTATCGGTCGGCAAAATCATGATCAACGAGAGCAAAGCTGCCGGATCAAAGAAGCGAAACTCATCGAGTGCAATCGTGAGTGAGGCCTCGAATGAAATATTTCAAGATACCAGTCAATCCGTACTACCTGTGACGACCAAGCCGTCTGTTGCCGAGTCAAAGGATAAGTGTGATTCTGAAAACTTTGAAGATGACAGTCCTGACAGTAGGAGTGAGTCCGTTAAATCTCGATCTCTTGGTTCGGAGGCTGACGTGCACGTGAAGAATACCGACAGAGATACGTCATCTATCACCAGTGCATTCGTTCAATCATCCGTTCACACTCGGACTAAATCTAATGCTGGTTTCATCGAGGACCTTAACAGCTCGCCGTGCATGATGGAAAACATTTTGGCAGTCAATCGTGATGACAACTCGCGTGTCAATAGACAGCTTTCAGCGAATGCCAGGCGAATGGGCACCGATCGAAGCAATTTATCCGACAACAAGCTAAATCGATTGCACGTTAGTGAGACCGATGATGAGCAAGAGCTGCATAACTATGAATTCGACGCTGATTTCCTTGAAGAACAGGCTAAAGCAACGAATAAGAGCGTTGACGAACAAGTAGATCAATTGAAAAACGATAAAAGGACAGAAAAATTACTAGATAATTTTGACGAAAATTCTCAAAAGACGTCTCATCTAATAGACAGCATTTCGGGCATCTCTTTTCATGGATCTAGCGAATGTATCAGCAATTCTCAGGAGTCTAAAAAAATGTCACTTGCATCGAATATTACTAAAACCGAATCGCCTAAAATTGAGGAAAATCCGGTAGAAGAAGCGTCCAGAGAATTATCTACAGAATCTAAAATTGAAATTAAACTATCACAAGCAAGGGATAGTTTGAAGATCTTGATGAAAACCATTAATGTTTCTGTTAATAATCAAGCTGACGATGAGCCAGATAAGGTTAATATAGTTGATCAAGAACTTTACGAAATTATAGGAACGGAACAGCAACCACCTGTAGACGATCATCTTCCTCAGACAATGAAATATATCACTGTGCGTTCGAACGACGCAAGATCACTAAACAGCAAGCAGCTTAATATTACAAATGTAATCAATCAAGAGCGTACTGACGGAGCTAACGACAGGTAAAAACATTTGTTGAGCAAATCGAATTATTTCAATTTGCGATCATTAAGATGACATGTCTAACTGTGTATACATTGCAGATTGTTTATGACAATACTAGAGAAAAACAGGGACGTACTTCAGAATTCATTGGAACAGCAAAAAATGCTTTTGCTGAAAAATTTAGAATCTTGTTCAATTCAGATGCCAAAGCGAGACAAACGACTGTTCACTTCTACGATTGTCGGTGACACATGTCCGCCAGTTAATTTTACAAGATCAAGAGAATCTAGCACTATTAGGGTATGTTAACGTCATGTTAGTTTTCAAATAAAGAACGTTTGAACATCGAACATTTGTAATATCTACTTTAATTACTCAATATTGTAGCAAGATTCGTTATCAGATTCAAATTCTGAAGGAGAAATACGCTTGAGCAGTGCAACTTCACATTCGTTAGGTGAAATTCGAAAAAGCGGTATAGAGAATAAATCCAGTGGTAGCGTAAAAGGATCGACAACTACTAGCAGTGCAAATATAGATGATAACGTAAATTTGTTTCTTTATACCCATGTTGTTATGAAATACAACTGTTGTTATAAAATTTACTTTTTTGCAGTCTTCATCACCTAGTGTCGGAGAAATCAATGAATTAAACAAAAACTGAATCAAGTCAGTACTCAATTCTTTATATTATTAGAATTAAGGAATTGCTTCAGAAAGAAGAGGTACAGATTAGTTGCAGCTGTATTATTATTATTATTATTATTATTATTATTATTATCTACGAAGTTTAATTATATTCTAGTGCATGTGTATATATATATATATAACGTATAGTAAAGAAATTTCATTTGAATCGTCGTTCAAACTCTGTTAAAATTCATTTTATATTATAGAGAAAATTAACTTTTTGAATTTTTACTGCTATATTGCAGAAAAGTAAATGAAATTGAATGCCATTTACATTAAATTTTACGTATGTAAAACAATTATACTAAATTAAAAATTATGGAATAAGTTTGCCCAAGTAATGTCAACCTCCCCTGTTATTATAATCCTGCCGGGAGCGTCAATGGTAACATGCGGAAAAATTCAAGGTGATGAAAGGAAATAAAGTCAATGAATAATATTGAGATATATGTTGAAGATGACAAGTATATTCTGTTAGCAACAGGAATAGGGCACAAGAAATAAAAATGTCAATTGTACTCGCGAGCGCTTGTCTTAAATTTGTAAGTCGCCATGGACGCTGGGCTCCTAGATTTTTACCGCACCATTTCCGCTACTTCCAAGCAAGGACACCACCTCAAAGAGAACTACGAGATTGAAGGTGGTGCGTGAATATCTTAAAGGACTGTTTGGCGGCCTAGCACTTTTATTTATGCTCAGTTTCTCACATTTTTATTGGTATTTATTTCAAGTGGCAGTTATAAGACGAACTCATAAAATAGCATCTGTTGCTCAGTTCTTATTCCGTACTCGAAACACAGTGGGTTCCCATTTCCTTTTATTGCTTCTCTCGAGCAAGCACTACATTTTTTTGCCGAAACTTCAATTTTTCTTTTTTCCGCAAATAACCATTTACGGTTTTGCTAGCTTAATAATACGCCGTATATGGAAATTTTCAATTTAAATTTATTTCTAATTTATTTTACTTTTATATGTATTTTACTCAATATGTACATGACGATACGTATCGTCGGTTCGTCACACCCCTATCATACAATTGTTGTTGATAGATAACCTAACCTAACAGGTGATTCTCATACACACACACATACACATGCGCACGCGCACACATACACACACACACACACCGTTTGTACGTTCTCTATTGTCACTCGCACGCAGAAAGGATTATTTATTAGACTGATTGCTGACACGCAAAAAAGATCGAGTTACGCGTATTTCAAGTCTTCCAGACGAGTCAATTTGCGCTATGCGCTTAGCCTGATGCTCATGCGAGGTTCAAGCTTGATTGTTTCAAAGCGTCGTGGAGATTTTCTAGTTGTCGTCCTCGACATCGTCACTGGCAATGGGAGACGAGAAAAACGTTATCGGATATTGGATATCCGAAAAAAAGCGTCAAAAGTTTAATTGGGAGGAGTTTCATGAAGAGTTTGCCAAAAAGGGATTATTACTGAAATTGGTAAGCAGAATGTTTTTTTATTTATATTTCACAGAAGAGTGACTCATGTTTTGATAACTCTATAGGACCTTTTTGACTTTGAAAAATAAACAATCTTTATAATTGATACTCTAGAAATAACTGTACTTTAATCAATATGTTATTGTAAAATTATTTTACATTCAAATCTAATTTGTTATACAAATTCAATAACTTAAATTGCTATTCATTATTAATAGATAGACATAGAATCAAATCTTGAATGCCAGGGACCATTCCATGTATTTCTACACAAATTAACTGATATTTTGGCTCATGCAGAAGATGGCAATAAACATGTAAGTACAAACTGAATAAATGATTAATATTGTCATGTTTAAAGTATGAATTTCAATCTTGTAAGGACTTGAGTTTTATAACTCCTTTCTTGATTCAATAATAATCATGTAAATAAGATATTAAAATATAAAAGATAAATAAAGTAATTAAGATATTATTTACATAATATTATATTTTCAATAATTTTTACAAAGGCAAAAGCCATTATCTCAAGAATACAAGACTACATTCAGAAAGATCCACAATTAATAGTAATAGATCCTATTGAAAATGTACTCAATTTGAGAAATAGACACAAATGTTACAAAATGTTACGTGATGAGTTGTTATATGATGGTAACTGTTTTCTATACTTTTTATGACAAACTCATAAAAGCAATAGTTTTTTAATTTCTAAAATATTTGCAGATGATGTGTTTATCCCAAATTTTACTGAAATCAAATCAAAAGATGTACAAGAAATAATGAATTCATTCAAAAAATATCGTGTGGATTTTCCATGTGTTTGTAAACCTTTGATTGCTCATGGATCGAGTGATGCTCATAAGGTGAATAAAAAAGAGGTTTTACAAAAATGAGATTTCTATTGAATTTGTTTTTCAACTTGTTTGAACTTAATAACTTACATATAATTTAATTGCAGATGATGATAGTTTTTAATGAGGAAGGACTATTAGACTGTCAACCACCTTGTGTAGCTCACAACTTGGTCAATCATAATGCTATTCTGTACAAAATATTTGTTGTTGACGAACACTTCCATGTTGTTGAGAGACCTAGCCTTAAAAATTTCTATTCCAAAGACTGTCAATCAATGAGTACAATATTTTTTAGTTCTCATGATATTTCCAAAAGTGGCTCCAATTCAAAGTGGTCAATAATTTCTGAGGATGAGCGTAATTTGAGTGTAAAACCAAATTTTCAAACTTTTGAAAAAATTGTAAAAAGAATACGAAAGATTTTTGGTTTGCTCTTAATGGGAGTAGATGTAGTAATAGAAAATCATACAGAAAAATATGCAATTATTGATGTCAATGTTTTTCCGGGGTATGATGGTTACCCAAACTTTTTTCAACAGTTAGCAAGTAGTATAAAGAAATTGTTGAATGAAAGGAGAACAGCAGAGTACGGTAAATGTCCCTTTCTAAAAAAATGCCTTAGCGATGATCTTGACTCTGGTTTTGAAAGCGATGAAAAAAAGAAACTCTCTTTATTGTAACAAAATACTACTTAGGATGATACTATGCTGATAAAACAACTGGATTTTATTAAAAATTTGCAAAATATTCTTATTGGAATAATTAGACAGTTGTGAAAAGTAATTATATATTTTTGTATGAAGTTGAAACAAATTAGATGATTTCATTCATATTGTTTATTCGCGAAAATATTTTGTATGTACTTAAAAAAATATAACTAAAAAGTTTTGTAATACATATGTGTATGTAAATATTGACAATAGGATTGTTAGATGGCTATTAATCTAGTTTTTCTGTTGTATTTAATATTTTTATAACAAAAAAGTGCTACAAAATGATATAATTTATTTAGAAGTTAGTAATTAGTACTCATAAAATTTTTAAAACTTCTACATGGTAAACATTTTTGTTTTATGATAGAAAATTAATACAAATTTTTACAGTGTTTATATGATTATACTATCTTGCATTTATACATACATACACAAATTTGGAAAAGAAAATATTCGTCTAAAACATGTTGTTTGATTATTCAATATAATTCCAAAATCTATAAATCCCTTTTGCCATCGTAAATGTTCATATTATTGTCATAATATTCTAGGTCATTGCTAAAGAATTATTAAATAATTTCCACGGTGTTGAAAATAGAAAACAAATCTTTATTTTATTAAACTTAAGAAAAGGGGAAATGTTCCATTTGAAAATATCTGTACTTTTAAGTGTCTGAGCAGCTGGTAACACTATTCAGCAGAATATACGTGATTATAACTATTCAAATATCAAATCGATTTTTAAAAATAACGATTTTATTTGAAATTATATAATTTGACGGTAATTTATAGACTAAAATTTTTCAAAAACTTACAAAGTTTTATACGGCTCGCTCGAACTTTACACTTTTCTTTTTGAACTTTTGAATAAAAAAAGTAAAAATTAAAAATTTTCATTTCGCATGATCACAGATCATAACATACAATTTGAATACTTGAATGACAGGCTTAAAAGTTCAATACGATTATAGGAAATGTAAAAATTGATCGTTACAAATAACTCGGGAACTCGAATAAGCTTAAATCAACTCAGAGTTAGAAAAACTCAAAAAACTCAAGCTATTCGAAATCCTATACTGATTTGATCAGCAATTGCTAACGAGCGAGTATATTGTGCCAGTATAGGTATGAAAATAAGAGAAATTAATATTTATATCAATGAAGTGAAATATTTTATATCCATTACAAAAAAAATCTCTTAAAGTATGAATCCACGAAGGAAGAGTTAACGTGGAAGTATTAACAGTATGTCGGTTCCTTATTAGAAAGCAACAATTTTGAAGTTGCGTCAAATTTACGTAGTGGAAAAAGCCAATGAGTAGTCGATGCCAGTAGGGAAAATCAAAGAATAATTGTATATAGACCAAGTTATCCCGATAATAGTTTAGGTAATCCCGTTGATATAATTGCAGATGTAAAAAAATTTAAGTTTTGCATATATTACGACAAATTTTATAACGAATTCTGAAGAAAGCAAATAATTTAAGTGTAGGTTTGTTAATTTACTTTTCTATTTGTAATTAATTAAAGTTAAGTGTGTTGTATCTTTGAGCGTGTTAATTAGGACAATACACTGGACAAATGATTAGCAGATCATACCAATTGTTATATTTAAACATTTTAATGCTAGAAGCAAAGAATTAGCATCATTTATAAAAGAGCAATAGAGCCACATTTCGTCTTCTGCAATATGCCGTTATATAATTTCTTCTAAATGCTAGTTACAATAGGCATTAAACCTGATAATAATTGAGACTTTACTTTTGGACAAGCTAGCGTCGTTTTATCATTTATTTTTATTTAATTAGTGCTGTAGCTTTTAGTCAAGCTACGTGATCATTTACAATGTTCTGTCATACTCTGCGATTCTTATGTAAATTGACCGTAAAACGTTCCGTTTAAGATTCCTGACAACTTGTTTGCAAATGATTTGGCAACTTTGAAAAGCATCATCACCGCTTTCAGGATATTTTTAAACAGCGCTATAATTAATCTTTTATCAAAATTATATACTTATGGGGGAAAAACCAAATGTAATAAAATTGACTCAACTCAGCCAACCCGCACCGGTTTCTTCATTATAAATTAACCGTGTTTTGAGCACTTTCAAAAAATACAATATCAAAAAAGTAATCAACAATGAAATAACGATATAGTTTTCAAATAAACACCTCGCTTTTCAATTTATGTTTAAAATATGTCAAATAATCCTGTTAAGAAGTACGTTTATGTGATAAAATAATTTAGTAGTGTCGTTATAGTCCTCTTTTAAAGCCGCGGCAACATAAATAATAACAGTTACACTCGTTGATTTTAAGAGCTAGATTAATGAGTTATTTTAAGACCTATTGTCTTATATTACTTAGTTCTGCAAGACTAATGTCCTTATATAAGAAATATTTTTGTACAAAATTGAAACTTGATGAATAAACGTTAATTAAGTTTTTTGTGATGAAAAATAATGAAGATAAATCGCATAGAAAATGAAGAGGAAACGAGATAAAACGTGGCTGCGTCGATCCACGTACCCGTTTGCACTCGGCGGCCGCCTCGGGACTGACCAGCTGACGCGGTGTTCGTTGATTCGGAGAAGTAGCGGTGGTGGCCCACGCAAGCATTGTAGCGTCGTCAGTATAGCGCCGAGTGCGAGCAGACAGTTAACTCGGCACTGTGCTAAGCAAAATGGCAGACACGGTGAATGAAATTGTTTCCCAGGCGGCTGAGAACATCACCGAAAATGCCAAGAACGCCACAGCCAAGGTGCCTTCAACCCCCGAAGGTATGGCCATCGCCTATGGAAGCCTCGTTATTATGGCTATCTTGCCCATTTTCTTCGGTAGTTACCGCTCCGTCAGGCACCATAAGGAGCAAAAGGTTAGACCCCCTTTCACACTTACTCATACACTCTGTCGCTAACATCTGCTTCAAAACAAATTGCCACCTTGTCGATCACGATCGAGTCCACCGCTGCATAGTGCACTTTTGACACCTTTGCTTGCTCCCTTTTCCGTGTTTTTGTCGCGACGTGATCTCCGCGTTATTTTTTTTTCTTTTATCAGTCACTAGCAGATGTTGCAATATGTGCACTCTTTCTTGAAGCTTTTTTTTCCATCTGTTTATTCTTAATGCAATTGTTTTTAGAAACATTATGAAAATAGTGGAGAAAAGCCTGAAACTATGAGCCGCAAGGATGCTGCTATGTTTCCCTTTATTTCCAGTATAGCACTTTTTGGGCTTTATATATTTTTCCAGGTAATGACCCTTTTGATACTTTAACTTTCAAGAAAATGGTATATAAGTATGAGCCATTCAATAAATATTATTTGACGTTGCAGATATTCTCTAAAGAATATATCAATCTCTTACTTACTGGATATTTTTTTTTCCTTGGTATTTTGGCCCTTTGCCATCTTTCAAGGTAAGACTGAGTAGCAAGAGAAGCAGGTCAAAGTACAGATTTGAGGCTTTATAAAATGGGTAATCAACATATTATCAATATTTACAGTCCTCTCATTACATCTCTAGTTCCTGCAGCTATTCCTAAGACAAAATATCATCTGAGACTCACAGAGAATGAAGATGACATTATCAATTATAAATTTGATCTCCATGATTTGGTTTGTTTAGGATGTTGTTCTTTAGTAGGCGCTTGGTATTTATTAAAAAAGGTAATAATTTTTTAATTTCTATTCTGGTTAAAGTACAATACTAAACAAATCAACTTTTACAGCACTGGATTGCTAACAACTTGTTTGGGATTGCATTTGCTATCAATGGAGTAGAGCTTTTGCATTTGAACAATGTGGTGACTGGAGGTATTCTCCTGTCTGGGCTATTTGTATATGATATATTTTGGGTATTTGGAACAAATGTCATGGTCACAGTTGCCAGGTCATTTGAAGCTCCTATTAAGCTAGTATTTCCTCAAGACTTATTGGAAAAAGGCCTGCATGGTACTAATTTTGCTATGCTAGGATTAGGTGACATTGTTGTACCTGGAATTTTCATTGCCTTGTTGCTGAGGTTTGACCACAGTTTGAAAAGAAAATCAAATACTTATTTCTATGTCACTTTCTTTGCCTACTTCTTGGGTCTACTTGTTACCTTGCTGTTCATGCAACTATTCAATCATGCTCAACCAGCATTGTTGTATTTAGTTCCTGCTTGTCTGGGAACTCCTTTGTTGGTTGCACTTTTCAAAGGAGATCTGAAGGCTTTATTTTCGTGAGTTTTCATTTCTTTCATTCCATATTTTCCAATATTACAATTATATTTCATAATTAAATATAAGATGACATTTTTCAATTATTATAAAATGAAAATGTTTGTGCAGTTGGATGTTTCAAATTATATTTTATTCTTTTATTGTTTGTGATTCATAAGTACTTAGTTTTTGTAGGTACGAGGATCATCCATCTGAAACTACAGAAAACAAAGAAACGACAAAAACGACACAAACAGATAATAAAAAAGAAAAGTAAAATGTGTATTTGTACTCATCATACATGTGATAACGCAGATAAAATCGCGACAGTTGGAATAGAAGAGAACTTGTTTAGTGCAAAGGATGTTTGTTTTCATAGAGTTTGAGAGATTTGTAATATGTGAGTGTGAGAACGTTATTGATACAAATGTCAGTCACTTCACAATGACTATTCAAGTACATGTTAATGTTGTACTTTTTTCTATGCATAATATTCTGATTTCATTATTTTTCCTTGTTTTATAATCCAATTAATATATCGTTTTGTTTTTCAAAATTTAATACCTAAGATAAACTTAACATGAAAAAATTTGACTTTGAAGTAGCTTCGATTTACTTCAGAATGACTATGCAAGTATGTTAATATTGTACTTTTTTCTATGTATAATCTGATTTCGTTATTCTTCTTTCTTTTTGAATCAAATTAATATTACATCATTTTGTTTTTGTTTTTCAAAATTCAATACTTCAGATAAACTTAATATCAAAAAGTTTGACTTACTCTGGAGTAGCTTCAATTCTCTTGAACAAAATTGTATAATTCTTTAAATGAACTATATGCCATATTGATAATCATTGCATAAAAAATTTAGATATGAAAATTAGCCTAACTTTGAAAGAAAATATTAATGATGCTTTGTTGAACTATTAAAAAATATTTTTGTTCACACGTTAATTTAATGTGAACATAATTTAACATAAATTCATTCAATTTATACATATTTAATTAATATGAATCTCCAGCTCATGGATAGTCCTAAGATATTTATCTGTCAATTGGTGAAAGAGCTTTTCCGTATCAGTGAAATAATATTGAGATTGGTAGTATCCAATAATTATCTAAATTTTTTTGAAGCAAGAAATTTATAAAAATAAAATTTACAAAACATTTAAATGAGCAAACTTAACTGTCCTGTAAACTACATTTTAAATTTTATAAATATTGAAAGCTACTATCAGAGAATGTAGTAATAAACCTTTTGATTTTATTTCAATGCTTTTGAAAAAATTGTTTAAATTTGTTAATTAAATATCGTGTGATCATAAAATAAAATATTGCGCACAAAAATCATAATAAAATCTTCCGTAAAAATTTACAAGACTTAATGGAATGAAAAATTATAAACTACAAACGATGAAAAAAGTATGAATGAAAAGTTTGTGCTAATATTTCTTAATTTTATATTGTTCTAGAGACTGATAAGAACAGTGATTAAATTTTGTGAATAAGTTCAATTTGATATGTAGGAAAATTTCATAGATGTTATATATGATAAATTAATTGAAAGAGAATTTTGTTCAAGTATTTTGAATGGAGAGCCAAATACTGATATTGTATCTGAAAAACATTTTTTTACACATAAATTACATTAATGAATGTAATCTACCATAATTGTCACACAAATATATTCAATAAACATACTTGTCCAAATAATGTTGAGTGTATGAATTTTGACTTATCTTTTTTATTTCTATAAAAAATTTATTTAGTACAACCAAAGTTGTTTAGCAACAAAGAAAAATTAAATATGATTATTCCAAGTGATCCTGCTCACACAAATATCAGTTTTATTATTATCATTATTATTACGTATAAAAGGAAAACATTATTTTCACGCTTTTGTAACAGCTTCAACAGCTAAGTTTTGGGCTGTAATTGGTGGCAGTTCTGTTATTCCTTCTTTTGATATTTTTTGAACTTTAAAATTTGGTAGATTGATAATTAATCTTTTGTGAACTTCACTCACACACTTTTTCAATAATATGTAGGCTTCATCTTCTGTCATACCTATAGAAAATTAATATATTAATGGTAAAATCAAAAACTACATCATCATTTGTGATATTTCAGGATAGAAGAATTGTAATTAAAAATAACTGAATTTTAATTCCAAATTTCATTAATTAATTCTTAAAGTAAATTTATTGAATATATACAATTTATTTTATGAAAAGAAATCTATATCTGATTTTTATTAAAGACGATATTGTCTGAAATAAAATACCATATTAAGTAAAATACTTACTCGATTTATAGTATCTATCAAGGATGGTAAGAGAAAAGAATCCTCCATAACCATGTGTAGCATAAGGTACTCTAACACATGATGCCAAATAATCGATGAAATATAGTTCTGGACCAGTTTGATCGTCATAACCAGCCATCAACATATTAACAAAGTATGGTGTTCTAGAGCGTAAATAATCTGCCAAGTTTCTTCTTGTAAAATTAGCAGCTGCTTTTGGAGACAGTTCATAGCCATTTCGCATTTTGTATAGTTGCAAATTTTTATTAATATATTCAGAGAATTGTATGGCATCTCCACTTTCACCAGAAACGGCCATCACAAGTTTGTTTGATATTTTGAAGATCTTGTGTTCATCTGAAGTAATAATTTGGAAATTTCAATAAAGTTTTACCTATACACAACAATTATTTTTAGTGTTCAAGCAATGTTACACTGTTCTTATCTTTGATGAAAATCATTTACAAAGCATAATAAACATGAATAAAAACTTGTTCTTGATAAGACATATCAGGGAAAATTTTTATTGAAAAGTATATTTTGTGTAAAATAACTAGTCATTATAGGTTAGCTTGAATTTACAATATAATTTTTCATACCGTTTTTCATGACCATAATTGAAGTAGCGTTAGTCATGTCAGCAGCAATGAGAACGAAGTCCTTAAATTGAATTCCTATCAAACATTCCATTTTTACAGCTTATATCCTTATTAAATTAGAATACAAAAACTTTTGCTAGCACAGTCTTCCCCGCTATCGAAAACCGTGTGTCATTGTGATATATCTATTGTACATACATATATATATATATGTATGTGGAAGCCATCTTTAAATCTTCATTTTCCCTATGAGTTTAAACGATATTTTACTCTAAATTAAGAACTTAATTTAACACTATTTAGTTATAACTCCGCACATGTAGAAAAATGCATATGCTTTATCAAATAGTTTCAATTATTTATCTTTTCAAATTATAAAGTTTTTGAAAATTTTCAACTGGAACATTCTTATGGATTGTGTAAATACATTTCTATATTATTTTAAGAGTAAGAAGAACATTTATCAGAATAATTGGTTAATAAATAAATGTAATAAGAATAAATTTATTGTAATTTGAAAAAATTTGCAACTCGAAAAATATGCAAATGGCGCCATCTAGAAATTTGTATTAACAAGCGTGAGTCCACTTTCTTCTTAGTCTGTGTGCATCAGGTCAGGACTTGGGAGGTTTAACAAATTTTTGCGATCTGTGAATCCTCCTTTAGTTTATCGAGGTGTGCGGAGGTTCGAGTTTTCGTTGACGCACGCTGAAGAAGCTACAGGAAAGGTGCCTGGTAAGTTGAAAAAAAGTTATAACTCCGAGGTGAAATTTCATCCACTACTGATGTTATTCAGGATAAATGCAGTGTGTCGGTGAGCGTGTCTATGAAAAACCGTTAGCAGGCCGTTCGGCTTCCGTTGCCGCTGTCGTTTAAAAATCGCAAACTTTAAAAATCCATCTTGAAGGCTTTCGTGGACGCTATAGGACCACTCCTGTGTGTGTAAACGAGCGAGAAAGCTAGTTTTTAATATATCCAGCATAGGGAAATTGTTAGCTCTATTTCATTGCATATTCTGTCTCGCGCGCGTCGTCTCTTTTTTTTCCTTCTTCGAGCCGTAGCGTCCGTCTTGCTCTCGTACGTCGCCGATGCGAGACGATCGACCTTTATAGGAGCCGTTTCCTGCGCATACAAGCTTTCTCGAGTAGCAACTAAGTATACTTGGCCGATAGCCTCCTCGAGTCTCGTGAGCGCCATGTAAATATCAAGAGATGTCGACTTGGCGATAACCCCAATATTTCGACGCTACGCAGATTATTTCGAAGCTGATCAAACGGCCAACTGCTTGGGCCTGCCAACTTAGAGCATTGCGAGTACGAGCACAGGACTTTCTTATTGTTTTGATCTAAGTTCACCTTTTACGGATGTAAAGAGTAAAAGTTATTCTTGTTTTGTTTTACATATTGTCTTTCTCTTATTTTTTTTGCAAGGACGCGTGATAACACTCGTGTAAGACCTTATAATCTCGTTGAACAAAATTGCATGCAAATTGACTTTTAAATAAGAGGGCCATTTAGTTTCAATGTGAGAATAATAATATTGAGGTCATAAATGTATATAATTCTTGCAATTTGCAGTTTGACTTTGAATGCTTAAATAAAGAGTTATAATGCATTCATTGCTCCAAAGCAAATAAACATTCTATTTAATTTATTTCTAATGGTTTGAAATACAAAATTGGAAATGTTTATGTTGTTGATGGATGAACTTTGTAACTATTGCATTTTCTCTGGTTTTAGTAAACACCAATCATGGCTGTCAATGTTTATGCAACAAATGTAACAACAGAAAATCTTAGTCGTCATGATATGTTGGCATGGGTCAATGATTGCCTTCAATCATCATTTGCAAAGATTGAGGAACTCTGCACTGGTGCAGCATATTGTCAGTTCATGGATATGCTCTTTCCAAATTCAGTGCCCTTGAAAAGGGTAAAGTTCAAGACAAATCTTGAGCATGAGTATATACAAAACTTTAAATTACTCCAAGCGGGTTTCAAGAAAATGAATGTTGATAAGGTGAGCTTATTAAATGGATAAAAAATAAAAATATGAATAGTGTTAACATATTTTTAGAAGTTAACAAAATAACCTGACTGTTTTATTATTTTATTATTGCAAATTCAACTATAAACTGGTCCAGGTAATACCAGTGGATAAACTTATAAAAGGCAGATTTCAAGATAACTTTGAATTTCTACAATGGTTTAAGAAGTTTTTTGATGCTAATTATGATGGTCGCGAATATGAGGCTTATGAAGCACGTGGTTGTATACCCTTAGGGTCAGGAGTTGATGGAATTCATAATTTTTCAAATGTGCATTTGGTGTCCCTTCCACAAAAGCCTCAATATCAACAAAAACAAATTCAGCAGCGATCTCCCATACCGCGGCAAATGAGTACAGTGATATTAAATTAACAATTTTTGCAATATTATGCAATACGTGTTGCACGTTTGCTTTAAACTGTAGGATTTAATTTTATCCAAAAAATTTGCACATTGTTTGCATATTTCCTCTACACAATGCTCAAAGTCTAAGCATTTACTAAATACAAGACAAAATTACCGAACATTAAACTAATAAATGATGAATTGTGATTTTAACTTATGGAGAATTAAATTGCAATAGAAATTTGCTTAGACTTTACGATCTTTCAGTCATATGTGTGTAATCGCACTGCATATGTAAATATTAGTACACTCAATTTTTTATGTACAAAGTATCCACACCTACAGAGCATAAATACTGCAATGACAATACAGGAATTTCATGACATGTCAGTATAAACACACAAATACTTTATTTAATATGAAAAATAGTGGTAGCTACACTGATTAGATTGTACTCCTAAGAATTAGTTAAATAAATGTATCTACGGATAATAATTTTAGCTATCAATACCTTTAGCAAAAGTTTAAATTCCTTCTGATTGTTTTCAGTCCATTTATCATATTTACGCCTATTCTAATTCCAATTTACTTAACTGATTGATCTTAAAGCTGTGCTTTAGTTTTGTTTTATTTACATACATACACTAGTGTCCATCAAAAAGCTGTATAAATTTAGGATTTTGTACATTTATTTTTATCTATTTTTATTTTTAAGGCATTTTATTTTTGTTTGTAGTAGGTTTTTTATTGCACAAACCTATCACATATCATTTACAGATTGTACCGATCGATAAGCTGGTAAAGGGCAGGTTCCAAGACAACTTTGAATTTTTGCAATGGTTCAAGAAATTCTTTGACGCAAACTATTCAGGAGAATCTTATGATGCCCTTGGTATGCGAGGAGGTGAACCATTAGGCAGTGGTGGTAATAATGTACCACGAGGTGGTGGAATGGTTAAAAGAACTGCTCCAGTGCCATCTAAACCAGCTGCTAGGACCGGTACAGTCCATAATATACTACCGCAACAAGTTTTACGCATTTTTATTTAACAAAATTTTTAATGAATACTTTAATATAATTATAAAACTGACACTAATCACTCACAAATTAAATATGAAATTGACTTTGAAAATTCATTTTAATTAACATTTAAAGTCATACCATTGTTAAAAAAACATTTTCACAAGAATAAATTTTTACAATTTCTAAATTACAAATGTCTATACAATACTTGGATTTTAATTCAAGTTTTTTTTTACTGTAGACAATTTTAAATTTCAAGCTGGTGCTATTACATAACATGTAATCAATTTTTCACAAGTTGAAAGAGTTACTTCTTATATAAATCACTGTAGAATTTAAAGAAATTATTCAATGAAGCTATGATTGCTTTAATTAATACAATAAAATTACAAATTGCTGTGAAACTAATAACTTTTTTAATTGTGATTTTTCACTTTCTTATGTGAATAAGAAGGAATACTTTCAAAGGAATCAGTGATTCTGTTCATTCATAGACAAATTTGTCATAGGTGAAGGACTACCATCTTCAGTCCAACTACCTGCAAAAACTATACAAAAATCTAGTAATTATTTTTTTAAATAATATTTTACTAATAATTTCTGTTAATGTTTGTGTTGAAGTTGACATTCTCAGTGAAATAATTATATTTTCTTTAAAAAAATATAATATATCAAGCATGAACCACAATTTAAAAAATTTCTGTATTCTCAATGAGTATGCACCTTTGCATGGATTTACAATATTCTATGTAATTTTTATTTTTAAATAGGTTAGTTTGAAGCTTTCTAATACTACATCACTATCAGTAAGATTTCTTCACCTATCTCTTTAATATTACTCTCTTTTCATATTTAATGCTTAATAGACTTTGTTTCATTCATTTTATGTTTTATATATCAGATCCTTAGTGTATTTTTACTCATTTATACATTATAGTAGAACCTAATTTATAAAATTGACACTAATTAGGCAATAATTATTTACATTCTTTGAATTCAGTAAGCAAAGCTGCACCAACTCGCGTTCCACAAAAACCAGGCCTTGGAAATCGTGATGGAAAAGTTGATGAACTCTCTTCTCAGGTAAGAAATATAGTCTGATTACTACACTGTGTAATCTGCAAAATAATATTTTTCTCCATATTTTTTAGATAATGGAACTCAAAATGACTGTTGATGGCCTGGAAAAAGAAAGAGACTTTTACTTTGGTAAATTAAGAGACATTGAAGTTATGTGCCAAGAATGTGATAACAGTGAATCACCTCCTATTGTGCAGAAAATATTAGAAGTCTTATATGCTACAGAGGTAATTTTTTCCACACAATTACTTATAGGTTTTTTGATTTCTGAATTCGCTTCGCTTTTTTTGCTTTTGTTATTTCATCATAAAAATATTTAAAAGATTATGAAGGGTTTAAAAGACTTGAATAACAAAAACGCGGTTTTTTTATTAATTTTTTATAATGATCAGGTCTGTAAGCTATAATATTTTCAGGATGACAGACCAATTGAAGAAAGCATTGATCAAACATATTAATTTTAATTACCTGATAGTTTACAGCTGATTATTTTAAATAAGGTAAAGCATATTGTGCTGTGAAAGTTGCATCCTATGTTTTGTCTGGTGCAGGTTTATGTGGTTTGGTTTATAGCACTAATAACAAAATTTATACGTCTATAATATTTGAATGGACATTGAAAGTTTAATGCATTTAAAAAAAATTTTGTTTTGCATAGAAGGGTAAAGATACTTGTATCTTGAATTATTAAAGAAAAGTTGTATTTTTATTTTTAATGTAGAAAAAAGTTTTATATGCATCGTGAGAGGTAAAATAACAAGCCTTTAATACGTAGTTGCAACACCCCCAACTATCTAGGCAATAAATTTTCTGTGCGTTATAAATTGTTCAATTCTTTTCCTCTTTTGCTGCAAAAATTATGATTTTTCATGTTCAGATAAATATTTATAATATTTATAGATTATAACTAAGAGTAGTTCGTAATATAAATATATAGAATTCATCAGATATTTCATTTTTAAACTTTTTTAAAATATTTTAGGATGGTTTTGCACCCCCTGAAGAGATTGAAGGAGACGAACAGGATGATGATAAATATTAAGGCAATTGACTTATGGTTCGACCAAGATGCATAGCGGAGCAATAGAGTCAAGTCTGTTTAATGACTAATGCCGATACATGAAGCATTATCCTCATATGAATCGTTGAATGTTTGCGCGTTTTTTTTCTTCTCGTTTTATTTTTCAACGATACAGTGAAATTTATGTTTGCAAAATGGATATATTAATGCATCAGTCTTGAAGTTGCTTTGTATTAAGTCGTAGAAGAAAGAAAACCGATTACTAAACTAAAATTGTTGGGCTTGTTATATCAGTGTGACAATGGTTTGAAAGAAAAAAAAATTGTACTCATGACAATTCTATTTTGAATGTGATTGTAAAAGTCTGTTTCTTGTATTTCTGGTATTATTTTTACTTATTGCAAATAGGTTTTTGAACTCATTTGCGTTTATAATATTCTCATCGTATTATGTAAAAAAATAAACTTTTTTTTAAATTTAGTTACAACTTTTTTATTCAGATGTATGAGGTTTGAATTTATATACTCAAATTGAATGAAAATGAGCTCAGAATACTTATATTTTGACACTTTGAATATTTTCTTTTTCAAAATTAATTTAAGCTAGTTTAATACTTTTTCATACATGTTTTGCTCAAGTCGTTTTTTACATATTTTAGTTTTACTCATTTAGTTTTGAATAATCGTTGACAATTCTCAATAGTGTAATCTCGTTTATAAAAGATAGCTTTAAAAATATCCAATTATTTTAAAGCTAAAAGTATAACTATTTTTCATATATGATTCTTTAAAATGCCTTGCCTTTCTAGTTTGATCAGAGTGTAAAATTATAATCTCGAAAATGTGACCTATTATATCGTGTACAGAAATTGATAATATTAAAAAAGTGTTTAACACTAAATATAATTGGGTATTATATAGCCAAAGGAATTATTATCTAGTAAAAATTTATTCATACAGTCAAAGTTAAAAATTGCTGTTTTCAAGAGAAAAAATCAGAAATCAAGATAGACAAGTTGAAATTTGAAAATGGCTTTACCTGCATGTATCGTATATTACATTATATGAATTTATTTCACTTGAAGTTTTTTACGAGATCTGATGTTCATTGTAAGACTATTAAGTGACGTATCGAATGCAAGTTAAAGAAACTTATTGTGTAAATTAAAATAAAAGTAAGCATGAAATGTCTTCAGCGCTACACAGTGAACGCATCAAGATTTCATGAGTGTAACGTATTCTTTCGTGTTTAATAGAGACAATGATAATACTTGCATTACACATTTATAACATGAGAAAGAGTGAAACTAAACGTAAAAATGCTTTTCAACTTAAAATTTTAACTATGTAATAATGAAAGTTTAATAAAAGCCGATTGTAAAATGATATCATTGTTTTATTTTACAATTCCATTTCCAACGCAATCCATTGTTTACATATAAGAATGACAGTTTTTCAAATAATAAGCTTATGATTTTATAAATTCATAAAGTTTAAATGATCAATCGAAATATATTTATTTTAATGTTTGTGATTTTTTGAAATTAATGTTATTTAATTTTTTTTAAATATTCTTGAAATTTGACATGAAGTTTGGAATGAACAATACGGTTAAATATAATTGGCTGCGTAATATCATTCTTAAAATTATACTCATTTTCCATTCATTGTGATGTCCGGCATCTCAGTCGCACGGAAACTATGTATATATATGTACTATTATAATGTATACAGTATCAACTCTCACTGGATGGAGACTATACAGTCGCCACAGTCGGCTTCTGCGAGAAGGTTCACAGAATGTAACCATACTTGTGTGTATAAGATGGTTCCAACGTGTTTTAGTAAAGTTCAATAATAAAATAATATAATATAATAATCTCTTGATTTATAGTGGTATTGGGATATTTAAGTTCGTAGTTGCAACTAATATAAAATACTTTTATATAAATTTTTTATTCTTATTTTATTTTGAAGTGAATGTATTTTTAGGTAGAGTTTATTCAGCTCACTTTAAATTAGAAAGTTTAGCAGTAAAATAGTTCTGTTGGAAATGGCAGACAAACCTAAACCATCAAGTTATGTTAAACATGTTCCCAAGGATGCTCAAGTTATTGTATCTATCATGAAAGATATGGGAATAACTGAGTATGAACCAAAAGTTATTAACCAGTTATTGGAGTTCACATATCGTATGTATAATCAATAAAGTATACATGATAAATACAATACAAGTATTCAACATAAATATACATTTTGTAGGATATGTAACATGTATTCTTGATGATAGTAAAATTTATGCTAACCACAGCAAAAAGAAATTTATTGATTTAGAAGATGTTCGACTTGCTGTCAAGCTGCAATTGGATCGGACTCTTACAAATCCACCTCCAAGAGATGTTTTATTAGAAGTAGCAAAAGCAAAAAATTCTATTCCACTGCCATTTGTCAAACCAAGTAATGGCTTAAGATTGCCACCTGATCGTTACTGTTTGAATAATACTAATTATAGGCTCAAGACTCCATTAAAAAAGTCTGGAAAGTTCGGGTTTGGTAATATAGGTTTTGGAAGTCATTCAAGAATGAAAATGGACTCGCAGAAAGGTCTATCAATTGTTAAACGTCCAGGAACTTTAGCAACAATTTCTAGAACTCAAACTATTTCAATGTCAAAGCCAGTATTTAAAATTTCATCAGGTAAGCTAAATGGAATATTTATCAATAATGTATTAGCACTTTTAAAAAATAAAACTTTTTCAAATATTCTTTCAAAATTTTGTTTTGTAATATATTTTTTTAATATATTACAATAATATTCACAACTTTTTCATTGTGAAAATAAATTGATAAGGATGTTTCATAATGATTTCAGGCAACGTTTTTAATTCTAATGCAAATAAATCTCAAGTGTCTAATCAATCTCATATGAAAATGATATCAGAATCTGAACAAAATCAAAACTCTGTTGTGAAATTAGAGCCAGAAGATTCTGTGAAACGAAAAAGAGAAGATGAAGATTATGATGCTCCGTAATTTTTCTGAGGTGAGAGTACACTTAAATTTTTAGTGGTGATTTAGATGATTTAACAAAAAAAAAAGAAAACAATACCAGGCATTGTATCATAAATGTACAATAATTTATCGCTGACATTTTGTGTGAACCATTGAGATAAGTTTTGAAAATCATGATACTTATACTTTTACCAATTGTGAATCACCTGATTTTTTATTTAACAAAGCAGGGTTTGCGTGTTTCTATTTCCAGTATTCATCCATTATCCAACACAATTTTTTTTACAACTAACTGTATAAGTTTAGGTAATGTATAGGTAAAATAATAAATTTAGTACTAATCTAATGAACCTATAAGATGAGCAAAAATTTATTTTGTTACATAAAAAATCAAATCAATTGATACAACATTATGGAAAGGGGCCGAACATTGGTACATTTTCAATTTTATCATAAGACCAATATTTACTTTTATTTATTGTAGCTTTGTAAATTGTGTACTGCCTATACTACCAACAATTGGTGCACTGGTATTCGAAATTGCCGATAAAAGGACAAAGTAATATCAAATTGTTCAATGTGTTCGCAATTAATGAATGAAAAAACAAAAATGCCTTTATTCGCGTTTATTTCATGGCCGGTAATTGGTCTTCCAAAAAATGTAAATGTATCCGGGCTACTTTTACAATTTTGTAGGTTCATTAGTTGAGTATTGAATTTGTTAATTTGCTTACATATTGCTGAAACTTTTTTTTTAATTAATTAAAAAACAATATACCGGATAGTGGGTGGGTGCCAATAATAGTAATACTCATCATATATAGATTTAGTTTCAAGCCACGTAAACGTTGCGAGAAAAGTATAGATAGAAAAGAAAAAGTGCCATTTTTAGTATGCAATTTGTTTGACACTTCTACGTTTTAGTAGAAATATTTTCAAAAAAGTATTTTACCAGTAATCGAAGTAGAGTCGACTAATGACAATTTAACGTGTAAGGCAATTATTGTAAATAATAACTTTGATTAAAATGATGAGTGAAACGCATGAAGATTTCAGTGTACTCTCTGAAGACTTGTAAAACGTTCAAATCGTTACAGATATTCCTGTAAGAGCGATTTGAGAAACAAAAATATGTACTCATTTTTTTTTCTATAATGAACTTACAAAATAAACATTATTGATATAACAAAAATATCGTGTATTAAAAATTCAACCCTCTAGAGCTTCATTTTCAGCCTCATCTTCTTCGTTGTCTTCCACAGCTTCTGCTTCTGAGTGTTGCACATCTGTTTCCGGCGTTTCTTTGATCGATTCTTCTTCCTTCTCCTCAAATTCATGTTCTGCGCTTAGATCTTCTTCCTCTTCCGTGACTATCCCTGATACGAAACTCGTTCGTTCTTCGACAGCCATTGCAGTTTCCGATTCTATCTCTTGGTTTACCATTGTCTCTGCCATCGATTGCATAGATTCTCCGAAAAACATTTCTTCGGCTTCTTCTTCAGACAACTCGGATTCGCCTTCAAAATCGGTTTCAGCTTTAATTTCGGGTTCACGCTTCTCCTCATCTTCTGATTTTTTTTTACGAGCATCGTGAGTCGTCGGTAGAAACATCTTCAATTTCTGTGGTATATCCTTGTCTTCGTAGAGTCTTTAAGAAAAAAAGCAGTGAAAAGTAGTTAGGATTGTCTTTGGTAAGTTTGGAAGATATCAAACGTACTTATCGCAAAAGTAAAGTACTCGTATTCGACAATTAGCGTGAATTTGTACTCTGGTGGTCTCCACGTAGTTGGTGTTATAAGCTCTACGAGTCAAGTCAGAAAGGTCAAAATAAATTTCGTTCCAGCCAGATTTCAAACACAGCGGCATTGACGTTGTGAAATATTGGATTTGAGTCACTTTTTGGAAGTTGCTCAAGCGAAATCTCCGATGAACGTTGCGGTCGTCTAAAACCTAATGATTTATTGTCATGTATTTTACATACTTTCCGTATGACAAATAGCAACCACAATAAGTTCGAAAGGACGAGTTCTATTGACCTACAGTTATTTCAAGAGTAAAGTATCTATTCATGTTTTTGACAATCATAACGAAAATGGGCATAAGAATTGCGAGCGAAGTCCTTGGATTTTTCGGACAGTAAATGTAACAAGTTGAGACGTTAGTACTGGTAAGCTCGAGGGTCAAGGCGCGAACTTGTTCGTCCGTCACTCGGCGTATCCAACCGTACTTTACCTAAATTGTTGTAAACGTCCATTTCAAACATTCGACCATTCGTATTCGAGACTAGTGAGACAACTAACTTTTGAATCCCACATTTCCAAAGGAGACGACCCGAAGCTTTGTAGTATGGGAATGAAACCGCGTTGTCGCACATTGCGAAACATGCTGCTTCCCTTACATTCACTAAGGTTACTTTTTCAGATCAACCGCACAATTTTCTCAAACATATTGCCAACGTCACGTTGCTTTATTTTTACAAATGACATTTTCAGCTCAAACATGTCAAGCAATTCTTCGCATGAAGCAATTTTCAATTAACTTTCATTTAAAAACAAATATAAGAGAAACACGTGCGTTTACAAAAAATATGTTGATCATATATCGTTTGCAGTCTTTCTTTAACATAGAATGCTGTATTATTTTCAGTTGAATGCTCTACCGAATTTTCCATTGCTCGGCGGCGTATCCAAACGCATACATAATCGCAGTAATTTACATATATATGCTTTGAAAAACTCGACTGCTATTTGACACTATATATTAATTCGCGACCTGCAAAGTTCAAAATCTAAATTGTTTTCAATGATTGTACATTGATTACACCAAATAAGGTTAGATGAAGAGCTTATTCTAGCAAGTTCTGCGTCCACAATTTGTCAGAAAAGAAACCGCTTGATACCACCGGTGGTCAATCGTCGAAAATAATTTGGATTTTGAATTCCGCGGGTCACCAATTACTGATATGACCGCGGGCAGTGTGCGTATATATATAAGTTTAGTGTATAGCGTCTGCAGCAGGACAGTGTAGATATTAATTGAAAATATGTCATAATGTTGATCATGTGGAAATACTGGTAAATAATATTAAAACAATAACAGTTAATATTTTGATAAAGTAATCCAAATTTATGTGATGATTTATAAGTAATATCGAATGCTTCATATGAAGCGATAACGGCAGTAGTTTCAATACATAACCTCAAATATTTTAAAAGTTGTTATTTAATTATTATAAAATATTTTATTACTGATTATATCATGTATTTCATGTGATGTATTTTTTTCTATATTCTGATCTTTTAAGCTTTGGATGATCTTTGAAATAACAGGTGCAATTAAAATTTGAAAAGATGGCAGAAAAGTCAAAAAATGCTGTTCAGATCAAACACATTCCAAAAGATGCACAAGTAATTGTATCAATAATGAAAGACATGGGAGTAACTGACTATGAGCCTAAAGTAATAAATCAATTATTAGAATTTACTTACAGTATGTAGAATCAAATAGCTTATATGATGTAGATTTATATTGATACAAAAAAATTTAATTTTATTTTCATTGTGTTCATTCAGGATATGTGACTTGTGTCTTAGATGACAGTAAGATTTATGCTAATCATAGCAGAAAGAAATTTGTTGACTTGGACGATGTTCGACTTGCTATCAAAATGCAATTAGAAAAATCTTTTACCAACCCTCCACCAAGAGAAGTGTTATTAGAAGTAGCTAAAACCAAGAATAATGTCCCATTACCATTTGTAAAACCAAGTTATGGACTTAGATTACCACCTGATCGTTATTGTTTGAATGGAGCTAATTATAAACTCAAAACATCACTCAAAAAGATTGGCAAAAGTAATATTAGCAATCTGAATACAGCTGGCATTGGAGGAAAACTGGGTTTTTCTATAGTAAAGAGACCTGGAACTATATCTACTATTTCAAGAGCCCAAACAATTTCAGTGACAAAGCCAGTTTACAAAGTCAATCCTAGTAAGTTTTTTGTTTATTTTTATCAACATAATGATTTATTACTTTCATTTTAAAAATTAAATTTATTATATGAATTATTTTAGACAATCAAAGTTTGGTGAAGCCTCAAACCCAAATAAAACCAAAACTTCAAATCTCATCTGATTGTGGACAAATTCAATTACCTTCTATAAAATCAGAAGTCAAATCAGAATCAGAGGAATCTAACAAAAGAAAACGAGAAGATGATGATTATGATGTTCCTTAACTAAAAATGTTCATTTCTTTTAGAAATATTTTGAATAATTATTATTTTTTAACATATTATCTAGATCAAATTTTGTAACAAAAATATATTTATTTTGGTTCATTTGATAGATTAAATATATAGTGAAACAATGATAATAGTAGCTTTTCGTTCAATTTTAAAAATACAATCTTTTACAAGTGTACAAATTATAAAATATTTAATGTTTATAAAGTAATATGTAGTTTAATAAGAAACTTTTTGAAAATTAGTTATTTGTACACGGATGTTCAGAGTTTCTATAAATATTGTATTTGATAAAAATTATAAAATGTTAAGACTTGAAAGAATAAAAATGTTTTTTCAATATAAAATGTATATTTGATATGTCGAATAAAAGTATTTGGTTACACATATATAATCTTTGATTTTAATTTGATAATGCAAGTCCTTTCCATAACAATTAGCAATTAATTTTCATTGCTGAAGAGTAGATCAAGTCTAATACCGTCAACTGCTCTCATTTTCATCGCTATCATGTGATTGAGTTCTCGGTTAATTTGTGCAGCGAATTTACGCTTTTTCCATGCTAGACGCTGACGACAGATCACATCACTATACCAAAAACAGAGCCTTGTAAAAATACAAGTGACTAATAACGAAAATAAAAAGACATTTAAAGATAACAAACATTAATTTAGAAGTATTTGCGATAAAATAAAGTACTATAAGAGTATTTGCTTGATAATAACATGCGAAATAAAAGAATAGCTGAAATAGCTTTGAAACTGCATAAAATATAGTCGGTTAAAAGAAGCAGTAACGGTGTGTTTTTATTGCGCTAACGTGTCTTGGCACGTTAGCTTTCGAAACGTGCATAACTTTGAAAAAAAACGATGCAAAGTCGTATATGTATTTCTAAACGATATCTCGGAAGCAATGCAATTGAGAAAGTTACTATGGAAGCTTGAGGAATCCACTGTTCGGGCAGAGTTTCGTCGAGCCTTCGGCGTCTTCCGAGTTCTTCTCGATCACTTGTTCCTCGCTCATTTTCTTGCTCGAGAAAACCGAAAGACAAAAAAAAACTCACACAAACTTTATATCGAGGCAATTAAAAAGAGAGGAAAAAAAAAGAAAAGAAAAAGCGATGTTCGTGTACGGTATGTGCGAGAAAGTCTAAGAAGTGGAAACAGGATGATGAAGACGAGCGGAAGTGGCTGCGCGAGCGAGCGAGCCATGCCTCGCGTTTGTGTGCAAAGAGGCGATAAAAACAAATCGAGCGAACGAGAAAAACGTGTCTGCGCTTTTGTTTTATCGATTCGCTTCATAAGTTCGAGGTAACGTTTGTCATGTTTCACGTCGGAACAGGCAAGCGGAATAGAGCACAATAAATGACATAATTAGGGTTTTCAGGCGAACTTTTAGTTATATCAAGGACTTTTTTTTAAATGATATTTGCAGTGTAACGTTAATTCGCTCGTTAGTTATGTTAAAATGTCACGGTCAATTTCAACGTTGACCTCATATTTCGTTAACCTAATATCCATGAAAGCAACAGAAAAAGCTCGAAAATTACAGCGGGCTAGAATGACCCTAAAAAAGATATATATAATATTGGCGCCAGTGTGTAGAAACTCTGCTGCGTATGATGTATCGACAACAGGAACATAATCCTGACGCTTGAGAGGCGTATTCTACACACGATAATACATGAAATATCGAGCGACTGAACGAAAAGAGAATCGCATCTTTAAGTTGCTTCATAGATTGAAAAGAATATGTTGATCGATCGTTAACAAGCATCATTTTACCAAGTTCGATTGCGCCTCGTGAAAGGTACGTGCATCAAGTCTTAATGAATATCGACACATCAATTAATTTGCTTGTCCCATGAAATTGCGTTTGCCATTGGCTCATCGGACCGATTGGATATATGGGTGAAACAACTTGTGACTTGACAGTCCATCAAGTGTCTATATAAACTAGCCGTTATATAGAAGCATCCGTCATATGCAATCCAGACGTATATATGCATGTTATTCAATCAAAGTCAAGTTCATTCGATAGAAAAAGCTTAAATGATCGAATGCGACGTTTCAATTGAATTTCTATGCCAGCGATGGCTTAATTAACTGGACGTGTGTCCACGCCGTGCTTCGCTCTGATTTTCTACGACACTGCTTGGTTGGTATTATTCTTCCGCGTTAGGCTGCTACATTTGCGTTCCTTTTGGCTGGCGCTGTGGCTTCTTACTAATTCATATTTACATTCTTTCCCCTGCGCACGCGTTGTATTCTCGTTTGCGCGAGTAAAGATCTATTTACATTCAATTAGTGGAAAATGCCGGGGAATAACCAGGGAAATAGCGCGAAGGCTACTTCGCAAAATCAAATACGACAAAATTTTCGAATTTTCCATGAAAGGATAAAGTATCTCTATCCGTAAGAGATATACGTGTGCGAGTGCGGAGATGGTGAATCGTCGCATGCCCGGAAGAAACGATACGCGGCGCTAGCCAGCTCCAAATCGCTCTGCCGTGAAATCGGCCCAGACGCGACGACGAGAGAAAAGCAGGACCGACCAAGAGGAGAGGCGCGGGAGGCACGAGCACGTGGTCGTCGAGCAAGCCACGCCAGCGAAGGTCGGATGCCGCGGCGCGCGCAGCTCCGATTGATCGCGACGAGGCGTCACGAGCCGCCAGGCCGCAGTCAGTCCAGCTGATCGGCCCCGACGAGCGGATGGATTGCTCCCGATGTGCGTAGATAGCCGAGGCACTCCTCCGTTCGGCCGCGACTCTCGCCGCGGCTGACTATTTTCGCGTCTCGCTACTTGCGTGCGGGCGAGCGAGCGAGCGCCTCTCCGCCTACGCATCGCGTGCTCGTCGAGCGCTTCGTAGTCGCGTGCACCGATTGCCGGCCGACCAATCAACTGTTCCTTCGAACGCACGGCGGCGAGGAATCCGCGCGCGCGCCCGAGCAAATCGATAGCGAGCCCCGAGAAAGCTACTCGACGGATCATTGAATAACTGTGCATTGGCCGCCGGCTCGCAACCTCCACAAGTGTGCTGTTCGATGCGCTCGTCAATGCGCGGATGCGCTATCGAGGACAAGAAGACGAAAAAGTCGCGCGGCGCGAATTCCGACGATCGTTCGGTTCGATAAGCGAGGAGGAAGCGACGGGCCTGACGTCTCTCGTCCGTCCGCCAATTGGACTCGCGAGCCGATGCCTCCTCTCGTTTGCTTCTACGCGCGCGACACCATTGTGTATTTCCAAATGCGCCGGAAGCCCCAAGGTCGCGCCGCACGTCACTCATTGCCTTTTCGCTGCTGTTTCCGGCGCGTGGAATGCCGACTGCTTCGAATAACAGCGCCCTTACTCTCTCTCTTTCTCTCTCTCTCTCTCATTCTCTTTCTCGAGGCATAAAAATGCCGCAGAGCGTGCGAAAAGATCAAGATTGTCCGTGGGGAGTCGCTGAACAGACTGAAAGTATGTACGGGATTCGCTCGTTCCCCAGAGAGACACGCGTACCGAGCATACGTTGCACACGCAGGCATTCGCCGAATGACTCACTATTCCTCTCTACCTTGCAGCCTTACAGTCGTAGCCGCGAGGGTATAGCACGTTTCAAACTCTCATTGTTATCGAGCTATTATCGAGAGTCGCTCGCGGAGCCTGCGAATTACTACCGTCGGCGGCCTAACCGGCATAACCGGATCATATACTCAATGTAATAGGATTAGCACTGCTAAAAGAATTATGCTGGCGCGTACAACAGCTGCGTTTAGTCGATCTCGCGTCCGTGTCCGTGGTAACCGTCACGGCGACTCTCGTTTTCAAGCGCGAGGCGGAATAATCGAACGGGGCGCGGCGGCGCACACAACGGGGCGAGCAACCGTTATTTGTCATGGAGTCTTGCTAGTTTGGCCTAATGTAGCCACTTGGCCCTCTCGTGCAGCCGACGGCGTCGTGATCGGCGCTGGACTGCGCGCAAGGGAGGCGCTGCTCCGCCTCGATGGTAAGCAACGTTTGCCGAGGAGCACAAGACGTTGGGCTTCGGGCGCGGAAGAGTAGGAAACGAGAGGCGAGGCGTGCGCGGCCTCCGCGTACGCTTGTCCTTGTTGCAGCAGCAGTAGCAACCCTCGGCGACTGCGCGCTGTGCCGCGAGCGGATCGGAGCGGAGCGCAGAGCGGCGCAGCCAGCGGCGAGGCAGTACGGGTTTGGCTCGAGCCGCCGTTACTGACCGAGCCTCCACTCGTCGTCGTCGTCGTTGTCGTCGTCGTCGTCGTCGTCGTCGTCGTCGGCGCACGATGGCCAGCGACACTGGTTACAGGTTTGTGCAGCCCACTCGGTCGTTGTGCAGCCTCGCACGCACGCACGCACGCACGCACGCACGGGCTCGGATTTTTCGAGCGCGCGACGCTGGGGTGGGGCAGGCCTGCCGTGCTCTCCCTCCCCGTCGCCGACTCGCTGCTCCGCGGCCGACGTCCGGCAGTGCGCGAGCCGATGCACCAGGCCGCGTCGCTCTGGCTTCGCTGACATTGGCCGACATCGCGCCGTCAAGTGCAGAGGCCGTTCGCGCGCTTCTCCGCCGCCGCCACCGCCGCCACAACCAGTCGGCGCGTCGGCCGACCACCGAGCCGCCAGCTTTCAACGCCCGACGCTATTGATTCTCGCAGCCGATAACTCGCGTCGCTCGCGGTCAGTCGCATAGCTCGCAGACTCTGCCGAGCAGCTTGCCGCGCGCGCGGCCTGTCTCAAGCTCGAGCTTCCGGTCCAAGTTCCAAATTCACCTCGACGTCGAGTCGACAGTGCTGTGCGCGCGCGCGCGCGCGCGTGTGCCTCGGTGTGGGGAAAGCGCGACCGAAAGACGCCGTGTGCGACGTTGTCTCGCGAAGGTCGTGCCGGAGTAATCGAGTAATGCCGTAAGCTGCACTGACGGCTCCCCGTTCAATTATGGGCCTGTCTTTGTGGGCGCGCTTCGAGCCTCGGCAAACTAGCTTTATTGCGGAGAGAACGCTCAGGGCGTTCTGTTCGTTCTGAAGTAACGACGCGTGCCGCAATGACAACATCGATTCGACGAGTCCGCTCTTTGCTCCAACTCCACTCGACGTCGTAAACCTCAAAGTATTCCAGCTTTCCTACTAATTTACTTGGACTCTGCGGCAATAAAAGCCGACCAGTTTAAGCGTCGTTCTTCTTGTTATCGAACAAGTTCCCAGGGATACGTATTTCAGGCGATAGAAGCTATTATTGCCCGTTGCGTGGGCGTGTTTAAAGCAACTGACAAGTTGTCTGGGTTCCCGTGACAAGTGAAAACGAACCCCGATTTACCGCGATTCGCCGAAATCTAAGCGTGACGATTCATTCAAATGAACGTGTTATAATTCTCTCCTCATTTAAATTTGGCATTCGTCAATGTCGTTTCCCAATGGCAGATTATTTCCAAATATTCTGAAATACTTAAAATAATTCAATCGCATCGTTACACCCTTGTGCAAAAGTAAATGAAGCCACGGTGTTCTAAATATAGCGAGAAAAATATCTCGCCTGAAAACTCCAATAACGCGTTTTGCTATAAAACTGACGATATATTTTTAAAACACTATAGCAGATATCGGGGAAAAAATAAATCGCATGGTAATACCACAAATCAAATGGGATGTTGACTGCGAATATTGTGTACTTGAATTTTATATGAAAAGAACTTTGTATTCGAGTAACGATAGAATGGAGTGGTTGAGACAATAAAAAATCTAAGAGAATGGCCTTGCCGGAGTTTTCCTAATGTTAAACTTTTCCCTCGGTTTCCGTCCACATTTTCTTCTTTTATATCTTCGTCGCGTGACTATCGATTGAAATTGACACGTTATCGAGTGCGCTTTTAATTTTGCGGTCGGCCGTGTCAACTACTTTTTGATTGGCAAAAATAACTCCTGGAGCATCGCTAGTTGAGCCAATCGAGCTGATTTCCTTTGAATCGCAAGAATCCGTTCGCGATAACAAAAAACAAAACAAAATTCAAGCGACGAAATTCTGATTAGACGACGATAGCACTTGGGCCACGAATCTTGAAATTAATCAATAATTCATGAAAACACATGCGAGAGAGAACTCGAGGAGTTGTTCATAGTACAAGGGTGTTTGCTTGGTTTCCAAATCAATAATTAACGCCAGCTTCTCTCCACTACATTAAAGCTTGGTATTAACATTGAATCTGCCTTTCGCATATTTCGCCGCTGTCAATATTTTACTTGCAGATTGTGCTTACCTACATGCATAAATTTATTCACACATTGGACACGAGACTAGAATTTTTAACGTTAGCTCATTCCTGCTAGGAAGCGCGCCAACATTGTTCCATTATTGAAAGCTTTAGCAAAGAATCACGAAACTCGAAGAATTGCGACAACGCGTAGTTGTCGGGACTGGAGATTAAAAAGCGTAAGAAGCTCGGGAGCATCGGGAAGGTTGCGCGCTTCAGTTCTGTCCGCTTGTCGTGCGATCTGAATTCCAGAGTTGACCGCTCGCCGTCGGTCTCCGGTCAATTTACCCGTAAAATAGTCTAATCGAGATCGCGCGCGACGCGCGTTGCAGAAAGACGCTGCCGGTACCAGGACACTCGGAGGTGAACCTGTGCTCGGTGCTGTCGCTGGGCAAGGACCTCAGCAAAATCACGATGCCGGTGATCTTCAACGAGCCGCTGTCGTTTCTGCAGCGAGTCGCCGAGTACATGGAGTACTCGAAGCTGCTCAAGCAGGCGGCCCAAGAGACCAGTCCCGTCGCTCGGCTGCAAGTAAGTTTCCAATCAGCATTCTATCTTCTCGACGTCATTTAATCAGCCGTTTGTTTCGCTACTCCTCTCTGTTCGCTATACGTCCCAAGGCAGCGCGCTTTACACTTTTCATCTCGCACAGTTCCTCTTCGTTCGCGAGGCAAGCTCATTTCACTCCTATCTATCATTGCACAACTATCTTTGCAAAAGCCACGAATGAAACGCCAATATTGAATCGATACAATGAGAAGCTTTTAAGAATGCCTTCCGAGTGTTTCTATGCGTCGACTGAAACGTCCAGTCAGAAGCAGCAAGAAGGAAAAACAAATGCGTAAAAAGAAATGCTAAAGAAAGGTAGGTTTTTCTTGATGTGCACGCGGCCGCTACTCTCGTGCGATTCAATTGTCCGAGAGAACATAAAGGCGTACGCGACGAGGGATAAGCGAGTGACGTAGCGACGCGGAGGAGGACGGCAAGACTACATCCGATGAGATTTTCTCGCGGCCCCCTCGCCAACCGAGAATACCGCGTGGTCGCTCTGCACCTCGTCCCTTCGAATGATCTTTATGGACGAAGCATCTCGTCTAGTTTTCACGTTTGTTTTTCCAACGTAACTTCGTCCCAGAGCGAGCTTGCGAACGTTTAAAAGCTACATGCGTGTGTTTACAGTACATCTCAGCGTTCGCAGTAAGCGCTCTGGCCTCCAACTGGGACCGCCTCGGCAAGCCATTCAATCCCATACTCGGCGAGACTTACGAACTGCAGCGAGATGACTTTCGGTAAGACGTTCGAGAGGTTTCCGCATGCTTACGCGCAGCTGCAGCTCTTACCAGCAAATTCCATCGGATCGCGTGGTCGTACGCTTGCAGCACTGTGCTTTCTCGCTGTAAGTAGCGCACTGTGAATATTGCCCGGTACAGTGGAGATCGAACACGAGACGAAACTGCTACGGGCGAGCCGACTTGGCGTTGGTCCTCGGCTATTCCGAGTGCGCTACATCGAGCTGTTGCCAGTTGCGACCGAGCGCGCTGATCCCGCGGAAGCAGCTGCGCGCTTCGTGGGCAATTGTTGTTCTAAAAGAGCGCGTTGACGATCGCAGCATAATCTGCGAGCAAGTGTCGCACCATCCTCCAGTGTCGGCGTTCCACGCGGACAGCGAGGAGTTCGTCTTCCGCGGCAGCATCCACCCTAAGCTCAAGTTCTGGGGCAAATCGATAGAGATCCATCCTAAGGGAACGGTCACGGTCGAGTTGCCAAAGTGAGTAATCATTTTCCGAAGCTTCCAACGCGCGCAGCCACGCATTCGATTACTCGTCCCGGCACCCGCTTTTCCACGGCTGCTTCGTTTTTCGTTTCGCGACCTCCAGCGCGATCAATTTCATCGAGTAGTCGGGAACGTGTCACGGTGTCGGTCATCGTAAAAAGTCAAAGCGAACAGAGTCGTTGGCTGATTAAAGATGGAAGGAGGCGTACACTTGGCACAACGTCAACTGCATCCTGCACAACGTGCTGGTCGGCCAGATCTGGATGGAGCAGCTGGGCGTGCTGGAGATCAAGCAGCACGGCGGCGCCAACCTCAAGGCCGAGCTATCCTTCAAGAGCGCCGGCTGGAACAACAAGGATCTGCACAGAGTCGAGGGCTTCATCGTCGATCCCGAGTAAGTTATGCCTCCGCGATAAGCTGCGAGCGCCAATCGATGCCGAGTCGATCTTCGCCGCGAAGCGCCAAGCTTTTTGTTTGCCTCTTCCCCCGGCGACTCAGCGGCAATTCCATTTTTCCGAGTCACATTTTCTCGCGGAGCTGGCCTTGCCGACTCGATAAAGAGGTGTCGAGTAACTTGCGTTTTCTATTCACACGAGCCTGCGACTTGTATTTGTGTCCAGGACAATGCCAACTCTCTTGTATGAAATTATTATTGTTTGGAACAGCGCGCGTGACAATAGCTTTCCTCTGCGCCGCGCGCTCTCCAGTGGCCCGAGCAAACTCGCCTATTTCTACTGGAGGTTGCGTCGGCAACGAGTTCATCTTCGTCATACGATACTCCAACGGCGCGTATCTATTTCGGCATTGTTGAAGCGGCTCGAAACTTACCGTTTAATGGAACGCGTTTAACAGCGGCCGGCAAAAAGCTCAATAGCCTTTTGGCGCTTGGACTTTCGGCTTTGAGCTTTCGGCGCGAATTCGCGAAAAGAGAGACGCGAGCGATAACGAAAAAATGTTTGTGTGCACGTGTGTGCGACAGAAATCACAAAAAATTGGCATATCTTTACGGCAAATGGACGGAGAGGCTAAAGGTATGCGACGCGGCACTGTACGAAGACGCGATCGAAAGGATAAAACGCGAAAGCAAGAGTCCACAAAATAGTCCCAGTCACAAAAAGGTTCTAGCCAGATTGAGTAGTCTGAAGGTGGGAGCGTTCAAGCCTTCGCATCAAGACGCCATCGACGAACCCGAGTTGGACAACGAGGGCTTCACCGTTGACGACATTCCTAACTCGACGGTTCTTTGGGAGGTCACACCCAGGCCAGCCAATGCTGCGCAGGTCGGTATATTTCAGCTTTGTTTTGCTACTAAACTCGTCTAATTCGCATTAGCTTTTATACAAACTTAACTCTTCGTTCGAAGAGTTCACAAGAACCAATTCTAAATGGTTGATCGGCATTTTCAGTACTATCAATTTACGACATTTGCCATGTCGCTGAACGAGATGCAGCCGGAAATCGTTGACAAACTGTGCCCAACGGACTCTCGGCTGAGGCCCGATGTTCGGAAACTGGAAAATGGCGATCACGACGGAGCCGCCTCGGAAAAGTCTAGGCTAGAGGATAAGCAGCGGGAGAGCCGTAAATCGCGGAAACACAAGAAAAATTCCACGGAATACATCCCCAAGTGAGTCCGATGATTGGTGCTGACGATCTGCAATTCGTATGATCTATCCGAGGTGGACGCAGATGTGCCTGAATAAAAAGTGGAATTGAAACTAATTGCAGATGGTTCCTGAAAAGTACAAATCCTTATACAGGCGCGGACGACTGGCAGTACCAGGGTGGCTATTGGGATCGCAATTACGGCGAGGTCGACGATATATTCTAATCAGCGGGGGGGGGGGGGCGAATGGTCGCGAGGAGAGTGCGTCGTTCGCTAGCGTCGATGTCACGAGAGAAGAATCACGAGTATTTGCTCGAGCGCATCGACTGTCCGGGCGGAAAAGCCAACGGGGAAATGAAGGGATCTGGCGGAGCGCGCTCGGATGCACGCTTGCCATTGTCCGAGGAGCCGCTCGCTTAGTTTGCAGCTCACCGTACGACCTACCTAGTGACTTGTACTTCGCAGGGGATTTCATTTTAGCCAAGGCTCAGTGCCGTTCTATTTATCGGATCGGTTCTTCCCGATGCAAAATCTTGGCAATCGATCGCTCGTAACTAGCTTCTTCTCTGCACGCGTTACAGGTCGACTGTGAGTTCCTCGGCAACGCTTGTCAATCAGAAATATCAATGCAATCACTGCTTTTCCTCGAGCAGTCGAACAATTTATCGCGAGTCACAGTAAGCTGATACACGCGTGTAATATCTATACATCCAGCCGACATTGTGCAAAGTTAAAGCTAGTTTACTTTCTGCTACGTTTTAAGCTATTGCACTACGCATACAGCATGTAGAGCGAAACTTGCATCTGAATCTCGTCTCTCCATTTTCTTAAGAACCTAGCGAGACGTACGTATATTTATCGATGTGGAGTTCCCGTATAACGTGTTGCGAAGAGCTCTTAGGAAACAATTTTGTCGTGAATTATGTGTATGTATATATTATAAATACCAGTAAATAGAGTCACGTATAACACTAAGGTTCAGCAGTTGGATCCCTCAGGATTCACATTTTAATCGTGCATCAGAAACTTGTGCGTCACTTCGAATAGTGAAATTATCCGAATCAATTTGAATAAGACAGGAGAGAGATGAAACTCTGAACGTTCAATTACAGCATATAACAAACTTCATTTTCTCAATGTCACGGACTTGGAAACTTTCAGTTCCTTTTCAAGAGCTGAAAGCCCATCCACTTGTTTTGTAGTATTATTATTAGCTGCGCGTAACATTGCAAACACTTTTTCCACTAGTCTTCCAGTTCTCGAAAAATGGCACAAGTTTATGATACTCGACAAAAACTAGAAAAAGTCAAGTTAAATATAACTATACTATTTTAATCCTCGAGCCATCAGTCAAATACACTCTGTACACACAGACTCTGTGAAGATATAACATTTTCGTAATAACTTTAAGCATAACGTTGTTCAGTAAAACAATTGTCTTCATTTTTCTACTTTAATCTATGTTCAAATATCATTCATACGTTCAATGACAAATTCACATTCGTTACAGTTGGTTAAGTATCCCAATCGATTATTAAATTCAATCGGTGTGATCAATTATTGCTCACAAAAATATGCAGATTTCTTCAGTCGGTGAAAAATAAAACGAACTTTTCAAAGAAATGGTACAAAATTATTAATATTTACGTACATTATTTTACCGTAAAGTTTTTCTTGAATATTTTTTTCAATGCCTCAGTTATAAAACAAAAATTTATATCCGACCATGTGAAATGAATTTTTCTCATATAATATCATTAAAATCTATTTTTACGTATATAGATAAACCTTAAGCAGACATCAAATTTATGTAACATCGTATATTTTATACATCTTATTAAGTGTCTATTTTTCCAAGTATGAATGCGTACGATGAAAAGAAAACTGTTCATAAAAAATATAACCCTTTAGATAAAGTTATGAATCTTGATGACACGAGCTTGAACAGCACTTTTGAAACAAGTCAAATTGAGTGCTCATTCCGTCGTTACTTGAAAACTTGATTTACGTTTGTAGTTGCGGAAGCTTTGAAAACTCTAAAAAAATTTACCACAATTAACACTTGGTTCACTTTTTTCTCAGATAAATAAAATATCAAAACTGTTTATTTATGAATTTAATTTGGTGCTCATACTAAAGTATAACGGCGATCAATTTGAAAAAGAGTTTCGCGTAAATATTTTGTTCGTTTGTCGAGTAAGACTGTAACATCTGAAAAATATGTAAGACCTTCAGATCGAACAAATCTGGAGTTAATTGTATCCGCAAGAATCCGCCAATTTTTAGTTGAATAAGCTTTTTATGAAACACGACTTTGCTAATTGAGAATGATACGCAGTGAAATTAATTTTTTACGCTCTTTTTATATACACGATCAACTAGGATTAAATATATTTATGTTACATGTGATCATTCTCTGTGTAGATATTCGTCTTGTTCACTTATAGTTTACTATTCTTTGCTAATAAGTAGTGAAAAAATACGTATGATGTTAATGACTAGCATGATTTTTATCTGTAAATATGTCTGTAAGATAAAATGGCATTTTGAGCTACGGAAAATTGATATAAATACACATATGTACATCGAGAACTAATAACTTAGTTATACTGAGATACAAGGGTACTGCAATTATATCTGTACGTACTTTTACAAAAGGTCACAGTTCAATTATTTATTCTTGTTGATATGTAATACATCGTGATCAACTAGCGCGTGTATAATAGTTATTATTTACAGCTGCTAATATTGTTGCAAATTTAGATCTTTGAATTTCCAATGATCTCATTACATTAAATCTCTATAACAACAAATAGAAACATTTTCACCTCTAGTACCAAAACAAATCAAACGACACGAACTGTAGTCATTATACAAGAGCCCTGCAACATTCCGGTGATGCCAATGCAATATAATGGTCAAGTGTTTCGTTCTTGTGAACACGTGTAGAAACTAATTGCTATTCTTTTAGAGTATCATTCATTAACATTACCGTCGTTATTAAAAGTGCAGTGAACAGTAAGAGCGTCAATTTTGGCTGCATAAAATGAAGATCCATACAAAATTCTATATTAAAAACTGCAAACAATACATGAAACGACAATAAGTATTGATTTATTAGATGATCACATATGCAGTCGTTTCTCTGAACAAGTCGAATAAATATTTAATTTCCGGAAATTTACAGGTAACACTCTGGCTGATCTGTCCGTAGTTGCACAATGTAAAGTATGTTATTTCAAGTTTAGCTAACATGATTTTTTAGAGGACAGCTTTAGAAATTTATATCTTGCAGGGAAATTCAAATTGAACAAAACTGAAATGATATAGCATTTTGACGGGCTGTAGTTTATGAGGACAATGTTCACGAATTGTTGATTGAGTGTATAATTTTTAATTTCACGTGTGCACGTCTTCAAATTTCATTCAAGTTGTCAATTTGACTTTCCAATGACGCGAGTGCCGTTAAGATTGAAGTGCTAATTATAGAAAGAATATACAAAAATTGATGCCTACAAAGCATGTATTTTTTGACAAGCATTTTACTTTGATAGGCATCAAGACTATAAATGAAAGTAAGGTCTAGCAAAACAATGACGTTGATCGTCGAAAAAAGAATTTCTTGTAGCGTACAAAAAGAATGGGTATTTTTGGTGTGATATGACAATTTCATGTTACGTAGACATGAATGAAAGTAAGAATATTGGAAACTAAATTTAATTTGCAAATAAGCATAGATCCTTTATTCCAAACATCATAAAACTATAGTAGTATTCATGTTTAGTTTTACGGATTTAATGGTTCACACTAATATTTCAGTTATTTAGGATTCGTTATCAAAAAAGAAATGTGGCCATACACTATTGTAATACGTGTAGTTGAAGTAAAAATCGTATAAAATAAAAATGATTAGTTATCAGACAACTGTCTTATTTGTTTACTTGCAACTGATTATGTTAAAAGCCAGTAATACAGTTAAGTGTTTACGATTGGATTATTTGCGCTAAGCAATGTTCCAATTGTAAATAGTTCGTTTGGCTGACAAAAGAAATAGGGGCGCGTTTAGAACGAACTTGGTTAGATATGTATCTATAATCCAAAATATACGCGTCTTTGTGTCCAGTAGAACATAAACAATTGACAATCGTCATCGAAAAGATAAACAGAATAAATGAAACAATAAAACAAATATTGTAGTTAGGTTCGTAGCAGTTCGCAGTTGCATCATTTACAAGTTTAATTTATGTAAGCGGTGTTTCAGTGTAGCTACTCATGAAAATAAAGGGGTTATATATGGACTGCTGAAGGTCCCCTTAAATTTTAAGTTTCGAAACGCTACCGCCATCTTTGATATTGATTAATCAAAAGCTTATGTTTGTTGTGGGTGGAGAATAGCTTAACAGACTCATGTAAAAATACACTGCTGATACCAACTAATTTTCTAATGCACACTACATCTACGATTCAGATTTCTATGAAGGATAATTACAATTAGCAAAAGTAAGATTATTTTATGTTTATCACTAGAACAGCAAGTGTTCAAAGAAAGTAATAATGTAAAAAATAAATTTCGATGAAATTATTTTTATAGTTTGTTTGAAAAACATTTGACTCAATTCAAGGTTGCAGATAATTAGAATACCATACAGCACACTAAGAACACATTTTTTCTAACTAATCAAACAGTAATTTTTCGTTCATGAAAACCGGGAACAAGCATTTTTTGCGCGTGCGCATCTACACACACATAATTATTTTTTGAAAGTAAATTGTTAACTAAAACATACTAAAATAATATAAATTTCTTAACATAATCATAAATTCAAGTCCATATCAGCTAAATCAAATGTTTTGATTACTAAATTTCTCAATAAAACTAAAATCGCTTAGTTATTTTGAATTTTCCCACCAAATTCTTACGCCATGTGAGCAAGCCAATGAAATTTCAAAATTGTCAAGTTTCATTGCCAATCATAATCAATACCTATAGGGGAAATTTTTCAAAACTCCTTTTTGAGGTAGGAGAAAGATTGACAAATATGTATTTACAAGAAACTTAATTCTCTATTAAAATATAAAACTATTACATTTGGTATATAAAAATTGCATTAGCAAATTCATATACATTCACATTGAATTATAGGAAAACATCATTTATAATTGAAATGTTAACTCAATTTGCATTATTTTACAATTGTTTTTCTTTCGCATTGCTAGTAATATTGGTGTTAATAAGTGATATAGGACTATGGAAAATCTACTACAACTTTTTAAAATAAAAGTAACAAGCTACGTTTGAATTGATTTTTTATCGATGTTCATTATTTATTGCAACTAGACGCATTTATTTCAAATACGGAACGATTTCCTTTGAAAATCCGGAAGCCATCTTTCGAAATTCTTCGAAAAATGTATGAAATCAGAATTGCGGAAAGTGAACGTCTATTGGTCTCTGGGTATAAAATCAACATAGAAATGCTACGAGTTTAGAGCCGTTGTCACTTCCCTTCAAAAGGACGGCTACTTAGAAATTAATTATTAATTAAGTCAATCGTTGTCTACTAATATTTACGCGGGATAAGAGAACAAAAGAAAATAAATAAATAAAAATCTAGCTCGAGTACAAAAATGCGTGCGCACGAAAGGAGGCGAGTTGGTAAAGAGTGAGGGAAGAAGAGAGAAAGAGACAGGAGACGCCCGTATATCACGGAACACCGCTGCGCGAGTGTTCCGGTGAACTCAGAAAAGAGTAGTCTTACTGGCAATAAATTATTTGTATACGCATTTTTAATAGTTCTGTACTGTGCGATAGCAGATCTTATTGCTTCTTGTTGTCAAAGAATTCAACAGGATTTGCCTTTCAAAAAACCAGCAGATAAACGGGCATGATGAGCAACGTTCCAACAGGTGAGTGTACTCGATTAAATTGCCGTATTGCCCGATTAATGCACGTATAAGCGTTTGTTGATGCAAACTTGACAATAGGATGAACTTGTTTGAAGATATTTTTTATGAATTTTTTCTGGCTCAGTGCTCTAAAATACATGCCCATGTAAAAAGTATACAGAGCGAGCTTTTTGGATTTGCTCTCTTCACTTTTGCAATCGCGAATAGCGGACATAACCTATACGTCTACTCTTGTAGAGGTTAGAGACTCCTTGCTCGTAATAAATCGTTTTAAATACCGCATTGTTTAAAAATCAGTTGTTTACTTGTCTGGGCAAGGTTAATTTCGTGCAGATATTGATTCTACACATTTTAATTTAACACCATTTTTTTATGGGCAGATATTCATGTAGACTATTTTGTGCCACTTAATGTTGTCTAATAGTATTTGACTTTCTAATAAATACTACTTTATTTGCGTACAATAAAAAAACATTGTAATGAATAAAACAATTTCATAATTTCGCGTTACGGTATAAATCTTGTCCTTTTCTAATATATTATTAATTTGGATTAAATTAATATTCATTCTTGCTACATACGTACCTTTTAGGTAAATGAGTCTCACGAGTTGTTTACAGATGACTTTATATAGAGACTACTTGCAAACAATTTTCCGGTTGCTGCATCATGCAATAGTAGTATTGAAATTATAATTTGAATTTTGTCTACGAAGTGTCAATTTTGAACGTACAAGCGTTTTGCTATTCGTTGCAGCGTTGCAGCTGAAAAATCTTGTTTGAAATTTCAATAGGGATGTGTAGTACTACCGTTAGACTTTGTAACAGTGGGTTTATTTGAAGCCGAGTCCAAATTGAAATACTGAAAATATAATATCATAAACATTGCAATCGAACCAATAATTAGTTGTAATTCTCGCATATCGATAATCAGCAGGCTGGGTTGGGTTGGGTATCCATATCGATGATTTATCATCAACTTTCCTTTATTAGCGACGACAGCGTTGAGCAAATCAATGCAAGGATATATTTCTCAATTTGTTCAATTTGTTTCGCTATCGTTTTATTAAAATATCGAAAATTGATTTTCTATTCCTAGCACCGCTCATCCAAAGCTATTGTACAATCGCCTAGATTTAGGTGAAAGGTACTCGTGAAAAAATTGAACGAAACGATGAAACTGAACTTGTTGACAGTCAGCTGTCTGGGCATTTAGACGTGGCTGTAAATGACTAAAACGATCAAAGACTTTTTCAGACATAAAATTAGTAATGTTGTATGTATTATGGTTCTTTTATGTAGGAATATCGGAGGTGTGTATTAATTTTATTTTCGCAGTGTTCTTTTTACGTGCAGTATGTCTTTCGATTATTTTCACGCGTAGTTGAATACTTGTTAATCGGCTGTGAATTGACTTTATCAGCCTCATCGAACAATACAAAGGTACAGGTAAGGCGTTTGCAAATCGTAAAAATGTATTTTGAAGCGCTCACAAGGCAAACGGCGATATCCAAGTGCGAGTGTCGGCCGGTAAAGATATGCGCTACGATGGTCGCATCTTGGCGATGCATAAATCATGGTCAGAACAAGAGAACGAGCAACGGCGACACGACGTGTCCGTTGAAAGCGCGCACTTTTACGTGTAATTTATTTACGAGCCGCGTATAGCCGCAACAACAACAGTTGGCTCGATCGACACCGCCTCTACAATACGAGTGCCGTGGCACCCACGCCAATTTGCGAAAGACGCGAATGGGAATTACGGTATATTATTTGATCTCTCTCTCTGTTTCGCGCGCGCGCCAATCATGCCAGGCATCCGCGCCGTCGTAAAGCGAATTTTCACGGCGATCGGTTGACGCGCGCGACGCCCGCATATTACCGGCCGTAGACCCTTTTTTTATCGAGAGAATCGGAGCGGAAGAAAGCCGCGAGCAAGAGCTTTGGCCAGATGACAAATGCCGTTAAATCTTGAAGCTTGCGAGTTGCCAATAAAAGCGTCTGATTTATCGATCCGAGCGAGCGTAAACCATTAGCTCTCGCGCGGCGTTCATTTGGAGACCGATAATCGACGTAGTTTATTGCGCGAGCTCGCATTTGCCGACTCTAGTCGAGTCTGCGAGAAGTAGTTACTGTCGGAGCGCCAGCTAATCGTCGTCGGTGTCATCGAGCGTCGGAGGGCACATTCGACAAGCTTGTCATTGGGCAAAGTTGCGCCGGGTGGATACGAGCGCGACATTGGTTGAATTATTGAGCAGCGATGCGCCGACGTAGCTTTCCAGTGGGGCGGGCAGAGAAGCTTTGATCGAAACGGAGTCGCAGGTGCCCGGCGCATGCAAGCTGACGACCTGCGCGTTTAATCTAGCTCGCGCCGCCGGCTAATTTAATATTGACTCGCGAGTCGCGACGTCGGCTGGAAAGGCTGTGTGCTTGACATTAAAAGCCGCCCGCGACGCTTCGCTTCTCGCCCTCCGCCAGTTCTTCTTTTGACGCTGACTCGAGTGTGTCGCGGACCTTCCCTTTCTTTGACATTTACAAGAGGAGGCTTTGGCGCGTCGTCACTGTGTTAATTGGTGTCAGTCTTGCGAAATTTCTTATTGGCTTACTTGCCACAAAAGGGACACTTGTGCGATTTCGTTTGCAGTGAAATTCTCGGGATGATTCACCATTTCGCGATGCAGGGCATCTACGAGGACAAAAATTTGCATTTTATAGGTGAGTTTTTGGCGAGGCTGTAGGCTGCGGGTATCGTCGCAACGACTGGTCGAGTTTTACGTGATAACGCACAGTTTGTCGCGTTAAATTATTTGAAAGTTAATCGAAAACCTGCTCTGTAAACTCTGTAAGCTCGCGTGACTCGTTAATAAATTCAAGATTTTTTTCTCGGCTGGCGCGTGGCGGTGCTTGTAACGTACTGCTTCAGTTGTCTTAGTGGATAGTCGTTAAATTGAACGATTACGAATCATGTATATTTTGTCTCGCTGCATGTTATCGCCAACTTATCTGTCAAACCAGGAAGTAGCTAAATAATTAACTAATGTTTTATATCAGAGCCGATAGAGGCGTTTGAGTTTCCGATTTGCAAGTTATCATTGACGACCTTATCGGTCGGGGTTCAAACATACGAAAGGTTCCATAATTCGACGCCGGCCAACGCCAGTAAATAAGTTCAGCACAGCGAAGCAAATCGAACGAAGCAACGATAGTTTTCTAAGTTGGTAAAAGTCGGTAGCCCTCGTAAGAACGGAGCATCGCGTGGATGCGAATAAAGCCTCGAGCCAGCTGCGCGCGCACGTAAACGTGGGCTTCTTGTACCTGTGGCTCGCGCAAGCCGAGCTTCAGAGACGACACCTGCCAACTGCGCGCGCGGTCGTACATTGCAAGCGAAGCTCGGAGCAGCTATTCGGTGCAGCTCGAGCGGCCGCGCGATGCCACGTGCAGCTCTGCGGTGCTAACGGTGAACGCGCTGATTTTTCGCTCTACTTTGTTTTTGCGACGCAGCAGGCGCGGACAAAGCGACTGGTCCGACAAGAAGTTTGATGGGACTCGGACGGGCCATTTGCAATTGCAAAGGTCCGTTGTTCGATGGACGATCGCGGACGGTCGGGGCACGGCTTCGGTGTCGAGAGATCGAGAGGCGCGAGATCGAGCCGACAAGAAAGGCAACGCGAGATATCGGCGAGCGGACAAGGCGCGCATTGGGAGGCATCCCCGGAGCTCGGTGCGCCTGCGAGTAGGCACGGCGGCAGGTAACAGTGAAGCGCGGCCGCCGCTCGGGCGACCGTTAGCGGAACGCCGTCGTGTACGTGCCGCGCGTCGACGCGGAGTGGGGCAAGAGGAGAGCCCCCGAACAATGGCTAGATCAGGCGTCGGCGTGAGTCAGAGCTGTGCGGAGGATGCGGCCGGCCGAGGGAAGGAGCGATCGGTCACGCCATCTCGCGAACCTCCGAGTCGCCAGCTCGGGACTGGCCGATATACAGTTCGAGCGCCGGGAAGCAGAGGACTGCGCTCTCTCTCTCTCTCGTCCGGCTTTTTCTCTGTTTTCCTCGTCGGCGAGTCGCGCGCTACGTGCCACGTGTCGTGCAGGAGTGCCGCCCGCGACCGGCGAGCCCAGCGCGACCGGCCGACGGTCGACGGCCGACGGCCGAGTGGCAAGTGCGTTGGTCGGTGGGTGGCCGCCGATTCGGCTCGCTCGATCCGCTGCACGGTCGAGTGGCTTTCGGGGCCAGTGCGCCGCCAGTCGCGACGGCCGAGAGCGTGGCGCTGGCGTCGCCGCGTTGCTACGCCAGCCTCTCGGCTCGAGCTTCCCGTGAGCCGCGGCGCATTCGGTTCCGCGCGCGTGCATCCGTCGAGGACGCCTGTACAGTGCCGTCGCGTGTGCGCGTCCCAAGCCGCGGGAGTGAGACTGGTTTTCGGAGGGACGGCCTGTTTTCGCCGGCGCAGGCCCGCGAGGGCAGATACCGGCGCGCACACCGTTAACGGGGCCCGCCAGCCTCCTCGCGCGCCAATAAGCGACCAGCCAAGAGGAGGAAGCGGAGCCCGGGCAGAGAGAGATAGAGAGAGAGAGAGAGAGAGAGAGAGAGAGAGAGAGAGAGGCGCACCGGCCGACGCTGTTTCGTTGGTTTTTTCGTTTTTGCTCGTTTCGGTTAACGGGACCATCGGGATGCCAGCTCCCCCGGCTGCCGCTGCAGCATTTCGCGCGGGCCTACGCGCGCGATGATAATCTGCCGCCTCTTGCGTCCTCGCCGATCTTTTCGGCAGCGCCTGGCTCGCGCGGGCCGAGCCGAATATGCCCGGCGCTCCTCTCGCTTTCCCGACGTCGGCAGAAATTGGACGACCACGCGCGCATAGGCGTACAAGTTCGCATAGTCGACAGTGCGCGCACCGGTGGCACTCCTGCTGACGCGTGGCCGATGCTCTCGTGAACTTTGCCGTCGTTCGAGTATGGCGTGAGGCCCAACGGCGAGCGAACGCCCCAAGTCAGCCGAGTCGGCGGTCGGCTCGGACCGAGATCGAGCGTGGCGTCGGCGAGGATGCGCGAGGAAACCGGCGGCAGCGAGAGCAGCGGCGAGGGGCGCGAGCGCAAGCCGTGCTGCATCGAGTCGGCCAAGCGCTCGGGGCACGTGGCCGCCGACGAGGAGTTCGTGGGTCCGGAGTTCGAGGAGGACGCCTACTACTGCTACAGTCTGGCGGCCACTCCGAGCTTCGACGAGCTCGACGCCAGCGACTCCGAGGAGATTCTCGTGCACTGGCACCAGGACAGCGGCGAGATCGAGGAGGTGGAGGAAGCCGACTTGTCGCGGATTTGCCAGGGCGGCGCTCCCGAGGGCAGCCTGCGCGCCACCACCAGGGGCGAGCTGAGGAGGCTCCGGGCGCGCATACGCGCGCGACTGCTGGCCCTCGTCGGAAGAGGTTCGAGCCAGATCTTGAGCGCGACGGCGCGACGACGCGACGGCTCGCAAGTGTGATTTCCAGCATGCCGAACGGGCACAGATGCTTTCTAGAGATTAGCCGGGAATATTCGAGTCGAGTTCGCTCTGTAGTTTCCGAGAGGTAGGTTTTTCGGTCGGCGTCGGACGCTCGCTGCTGCAGCCCATTGACAATTTCCAAGTAAACTCGCAAGTAAACGCGACTGCCATTGGCGGGTGATCGCCGATTCGACAGCGGAGCAGCCTTTTTCAGCTACGGAGGACAGGAAAATCCGTAGCTTTCTCGGTATAAATTATGAGATTGTAGTAAAATGTTCGAGTGCGCCGGCTTTCTCCTTGTTACGCGTCAAATAATCCTCGTAAACGAGCCAGCGAGCGCCAGCGAGCCAACGAGCCCCGAAGATACTCGCAATTAAACGGATTTTCTTGCGCAATCGCGACACACGGGAAATCTTCGCGCAATCTGCCCACTTTACAAACAATTTCCATGGCGAATCTCGAGCCGAGCTCGCGCTCGCTTACCTATAATCGTTCCTGGTCGTTACAGGTGAAGATGCCGCCCTCCACAGAACTGGCTCGCTGTCGCCATCGCTCGACAGCGTAGCCAGCGAACTGCAAGGACTGTCGGTCGAGGAGCAAGAGCGCCAAAAGGCTGAATGGAGCGCCGAACTAGCCAGGGTAATTACGCGTGCACCTAGCCTCGCCTTTTTCTTCGCGCTCGGATAGCTCGACCATTCCCGAGTATTCCAACCGCCGTGCGATTCCGACTAATTTCAAAATGAGAGAAAAACGCCTTCGGCGCAGCCAAGAATAATGTAGGGTTCTCGGAAACGCCCAAAAACGGGCTTTTTAACTTGTTTCGTTTGATTCGCCAACTTACCCGGAGAATGATAAAAACCGTAGTGCTGCATCGCGAGGTAAATTTTACATGGCCACAAAACCAATTTTTCATTGTGCAATGAAAAAGTTAGTAGCGCGATAAATACTGAACGCAGAGCGGCTCTGGAATATTGGCCGGTTATCCTCAAACTGATGCCATCTTAAAGCAGCTCTTTTTACGCGACCTCTCTTTCACTTTTCCAAGCGAATTTTTACGCGGTACACTATAAAATTGGTGCAATTTTACACGCGAAAAAATTTAAAACAGCTGTCAAAGCATGAAATATCAATTCGACCGGCACGAAAGGCTCTGCTGTAAACCGTTGATACATTTCGATAGCGCAACTCGGTTGATCCGTTCTCAAGGCGTCCCGACGTGGCGCAAATTCAGCTGATGAGCATGCCAGCCCTTGAAAATCTCGAAAGTAAATAACATTTAAGTCTTGAAAAAGGAAGCCGCGCGTCATGCGAAAATTACGCGTGTAATAACAGCATTGAAAAAAATAAGAGGCCTAAGACACGCACGAGCGAAGCGAGGATGTAACGCGATCCCCGGAGTTTGCATCAAAATTCGCGTACTTTCTTGCGAAGGGAGCCGTGCGCTGCGCCTCTTTATTATTCGCGCCGGAGAGCGCGGGCAGAAAAGCAGAAGAACCGGCCCGATTCCGATCTTCCGTTGGCTTTCGCTTTCCTTTGTAGTTGGCTAGCGAAACGCTCAGTGTTCGGTAGCCAGTGAAACGGGCCAAAACTCGCTGTTCGCAGATCGAGGACGAGATCCAGACGCTCAGGGAGGTGCTGGCGAGCAAAGTGCGAACGGCCCACGAGCTCAAGCGCAAGCTTGGCATCAGCGTGTGGAAGGAGCTCAGCGAGGACGTCAATCAGGGCCTGAAGAACGTCAAGGAGAGCCAAGTGTACGTGCCTGCACACATCCTCACAGACGCACTCTCTAAGCATCTACCTACGCAGCTCAGCGCGATACTTGTCATTTTATTGGCTGACTTTTCTTTCGTTTCCTTTGGTTCTTTCTTGGCTGCGTCCTTCGCACACCCATCCATCACGCTTATCATTTTTTGTTTATCAAAGCTCATCCCTCACACTGTTGTGTCGTTTCTGTATTGTTGGAAAGGAGCTGCATGGCTGCAGTAAATCTCGCCTTCCTCCCCTCCCCCCTTCTCTCTCTTGCTTGTCACTGTATTTCGAAATTTAACGTGTAACGGTATATAGCGCGGTGGTGTAGTGTAACGCGGCCGAAAGATGTTTCTTTTCTCTCTCTCTCCGTCGCTATGCCTCCTTCTCTTCGCTTGCTTCGTTTTTTCATACGAGATTTGGTTAGTCGCCGCCGTAGCCGCTTGTAGTTTGGAGTATGGCTATACGCACGCATGCTATTACAGAACGCCCGTTATTATTTCATACGTTATTTATTACCGTTATATCATCCAATTCATCATTTCTCCGGGTACCGTCGGATCGGCCATGTAATATACCAGCTGGCATTTTTCCAAAACTCTCCTTCATCTTGCTTTGTGATTTATTTTTTTACTTATTCAATTGTCCATTAACAATCGCGCGTACGCCCGGGATCTGTCGGTTTCGTTGTCGCGCGGTCCACTGAACGAGTGACGATTGCATTCTATTAAACCAACAAAAACATACGATTTTTATTAATACAATAAACCTGATCTTCATTATGCTGGTCACTCGGCCAAGATTCCAAATCACGTTGGTACGATAGTTGTACGGATACTCGTGCAGTGGACTTTTCATCGCTCCACCTGTCCATTTTCTGGTCACGTCTTGTCTTTACATACGACTCATCGAACGTATGAATTCGATAAAGCGTGCTGTGCACCTGTCGTGCCATTTCTTTTTTACTTTTCGTTAAGCTGTCTCATTTAGTTATCAGAACGTTGGGGAGAGACTTGGTCGAATCACGAGGACAGTCTCCGAGAACAGCTTGTGAGTATAAGCACATAAAGTCACTTTATCTTGATTAAAGCTTGTGACTTGAACACTTATTCGATCACGCGAATTATTCACTTCAGGCTCGTCGTGAGCTTTTCTCAAATAGTAGTATTTGCTTAAGATAACTATTTTTTTCAAGTTTTTTTCTTTTTTTTTTTTTTTCTACGCGACAAAGATTTTTAATATTTTAATAACTTTCAATTATCGTTAAATGTAAAATGAAAATCGGCTTCTATCCCTTAAATCAGACTTGTAAATACAGTGCACTCAACAATTTCAATGAGGTATTTGGTGTAACTGATTTTCAACAGTATTGTTCTTCGTGGAAGCTGTGTACTATTAAATTTATTCCTTATTTCTTTTCAATGTTCTGTTCAATGTTAAAAAGAAATGTGCTGATTTTCCATTCATTTAGCTGTTTTCCAGTGCTATGTATTGTCTAAAAGCAAAAGTATCACCTTCAAACATATTTTTAGTCAATTTTAAGTTGTATTTTATTCATGTTAATCGTTGCTTTGCTCCGTTGTTGTTTCATCATTCGTATAAGCGTACAGCAACTGTATTATTGTCTTTCATTAAAGACTTTTATTAGTAGTGATTTAGTAAGCCATTATTACTATGAACGATAATAGAGAGAAAGTTGTAATTTTGCACACAACTAGAAGTAAGGAATAAAGTGTAATTCTAAAAATGTTAATAGTTTATAAAGGTTATGGTGTTACGTAAGGTAGCATTAAACTAATAGTATAAGACTGTTTAACAGATTGAATGGAATAGTAGTGAGCTTTGACTAGCTTTGAGATCTGCCGTGATAAGAGGACAATTGCGAACAGATTTGCAGCTGTAAAATGGTCGTCTAAGCGGACGCCAAGTGTATCGAGAAAGCTTGGAGCCTCGCGTCCCCGGGCTGTCTCATTAGCAGCGCGAGACGCGAAAAAACACCTAAATAATTCATCAGGCTGCACGCGACGTCACATGCGCGGCGCACCGTGTGTTGTCAAGTGTGCTCGACGTAGGCCGCGAGTCGACTCGTTTGTTTCGTCCTCCTTGTTATTTTCGGTCGTCCGCGGCGCGCGTCCGATGAAAAATCTTCATTGACGTGTGCGGCGCAGATCGTTAAAACGGTAAAACTAAAAATAGCCAGGGCCCGCCGCCTGGCAAGATGGTCCGGCCGTTTTCGGCGAATCAATTCGTCTCCCGCGTGGCGTCGAAAGCTCCTTTAATGGCCTATCAGCCGACTCGTACGTATGCTCATTGTCTCTGCACCGCAGCCAAGACTTGGGCAATCAAGTGTCTTGCGAGCGCGGTTTAATTGGCGACACGCTCTATCTTGGCGTGGATCGTTGCTTTATGATGCGATCATTTTATGTAAGAAAATCCTACAAATTAGGACTTTAAGCTTGGCCTTACGTAATTTCACCTGCAGAGATACACAAGGTATCCTTTTGGAAATCCGTGGAGAAACGCCTCGCGGTAATTTTCCTCGCCTCGTTTCGGCCTGTATTTTCTTGGGTTATTGGGACAGTCAGCTCGATAAACGCGCTTGCATTTTTTTTACCTTTCGGTCAGGCGAGAAGATGTTTCCGTCAGTCGGCGACGAGAAGCGGTAAATTAGACTTTTGCGAAGATGAGCCTGTCGCTCCAACTGTTTGCTCTGCCTCTGTTTATTTGTTCGTCAAACAGAAAAAGATCCGCGATGCTTTCTTAATATCTCAGCGTCGTTACGTAAAGTTATAAGTTGAGTGATAGGCCAACAAAGGACTAGTTCGTAGCGCGAAAAATGAGGGATTTTGGCCGAGTTCGATTATCGCGATTTACAAGGACGCGTAACAACTCACTTTTGTTCGAATAAGACATCGGATAAGAACCACGCGGACGCGATGTAATCAGATGCTGCATACACTTAAAATTTGAAAGATCGAGGGAAAAAGACAATGGCGCCGAAGGTGCAATCGAAATTGCCGTGCAATTTTGGCGCAGAGTGAGGCTGCTTCCACGAAAAGGACGCGCAGGCGGAATACAAGTGCGTCCGATATAGAGACGTAACGACGGGCGATCGCGTGCGCGCGGATGTGTCTTACGCGTCTTACGCGTCTTACGCGTAAGACACGGGGGAGAAAGTAAGAGTGAGGAGAAGGGAGGTTCGCGGGGCGGAGAGGACGAGTTTGGCGCAGCGTGCGCGACAGAGTGGGTTGCACAGGCGTGATGCGTGCCCGTGCGCGTTGCTGCTTGCAGGTTCCAGAAGACCGAGTCCGTGTTCAAGAGCACAGCCGAGAAGACGACGAGCATTCTGGGCGGCTTTGGCAGCGGACTCTCCATGAAAATCGGTCAGATGAGAAATTCCGACAGCTTCAGGTCCCTCGAGGAAAAAGTCGGCAGCGCTTACGAGAACGTGAAGGTGCGTACACCAGCTGCATACTCGCGGCTGCAATTACGCTTTTTGCCGACGTCGCCGCCGGATTCGCCGCGGCCATCCCGAGAAACGTCCGTTTCGGCGTATCTCCGTTAATGGCCAACGGCTTAGCCCGATCCACTTATTATAGCCTCGCGCGCCTCGACCGACTCTGCCGCTCGCTTCTTCAATTTTTTAATCGCCAGCTCCCATCCACTTAATTACACAATCGAGCGGCAACTCTTCGTCGTCGATCAACGCTATTCCTTTCTTTCTGCCTGGCCTTTGGCCTCTTCTTCGTCGCGTTTGCCTCGCCGATCACGCGACGCGACAATCGTTAATTTTCAGGCGCATTGCGGCCACGAAAATGTCGAATAAGCTACGGTCGAGATGGCAATTACAAGATGGTCGATAATCGCCAGCGAGGCAGCGTCGATCGTACGCGAGGCGTTCTATATAAAAAGGCAGGCTGTAATAATGCGCGGCGGGGCCAATTTGCGCGGGCCGGCCGTGGCCACGCAAGGGCGTGGTTCTTGCGTTTTACATATATTTCGGGAGCCGCGTCGCATTATAAATTTGTATTTAGCATTTTAACTGTAATTGCGCGCGCCTCGACTTATGCAAGAGAAGAAAAACAATTCCAAGGTAGGAGACCTTCGCGCGATATAATTTATCGGCGATTTTTTTTTTCTCGGCCGCGTGGGTCCTTCAAAGTCAGCCCCCGAAGCGCAAGATCTCGCAATCTTGCGCAATTTATATATACTTTTTAGACGACTCCAAGCGTGCCACGACGCTGTTACGCAGAGAGTAATGCACGTTGGTCGACGCGCTTCCCGCCAGGCGAAAAACATTCTGCAGTTCATCGATGCCGCGATATTGATTCTTTTTTTCTTTTTTTCTTTTTTTGACGAATTGCTCCGTGTAATTTTTTTTTATGCGCCGGCAATTAAAAATAATTGCCACAATTGTTTTACGAGGCATTGTGGGGGCTTGCACAAGGGCTCCCGATGAAGTCTTTATTTACGAATAATAGCGATACTTAAAATTTATGTAACAATCAATCATCCGTAAACATACAACTTTTAACATGTTCAGTTTCGACGTTAAAGAAAATTATACAATCATTATATTACTTCGCGCGAATTGCCTTCTTTCAACTTTGGACGTTACAATTCTCAATATAATTTTGATTTTTTCAACTATATCATTTCGCTAAGTGGTGAGCGAGAAGTCAATCTCGGGACGCCGCGTACGAATTATTCGAAAAATAGCTGATCGACAAGTCCACACTTTTTCCAAATACGTCGTCGCCAAGTCAGCGAGAGACTTGCAAAAGCGTGGATTTGCCGGAAAGCCGGTGGGTAATCCAAGGAAACGCCATGCTAATACCGATTAACAGTCGCGTTCCGACTTGTGTCCACAGGGCCGGGTGACGCCGTCGCGCAGCAACTCCACGCAAAGCTTCGACGAGGCGCTAAGAGAGGCTGGTGCCTCGAGGCGTGCATCCGCTGCACCGTCCGCCACCAGCCCTACCATCCCCGAGGATAGAGTGTTGTCTTAGGCCCAGCATCTATACGCCCATACTTCGTCCGTCCACGCCTCCGCTGGAGCTTAGCTCCAGTAGTTTGGCTTTGCCATTCAAATGATCCTGTCGTCACGTGGAATGTCAACAACGACGTCGGCCAAAAATACTAGCGCTTCTTTTATCCGTATACGTTATTTTGCGATTCGATCTTTAATTTAATTTAATCCGCGACGTCGGTCATCACTTCCACGTGGTTGACTTTGAAGGCTTGGATGCGATGATGTTGATGAACCGAGGCACTGGAAAATAGCAATGGCTCTTTTTCATTTTGTTTTTCACTTTGTATACACAGGTTACGTTTTTCCCCCTCATTTTAATTTCTTTTTTCTCTGTTTTATCACCTCTCGATTTTGGGATTATGTTGCCAGCTATACCGTTTCACGACACAACACTTGTTAGGATTATTAAAAAGAGTCGTCGTTCGTATCGTCACCTGAACGTGCATTTCTTTCTTTCTTCGATATAGCTTTTACGCGTGGAAGATTAAACGGAATATATTCTATTAAACAGAGGAGCAAGATGTCGCTTTCAGACAATATTTCGGTAGGTGGATGATATTTATATAAATGTGTCAACCTGTTTGCGAGAATGCTCACTATCTGTATTACTTAACAAAAGAAAGGCGTAATTAAAAAGCGTAACGTTTGCGAGCCGCAGTTCGAATAAATATTCTATGTGAAATGTATATTCTGAACTACATATAATAATACAATAAAATTGAAATCGTTTGTTAAAATTACACGAGTGTAATGAAATATCAAACAATTTGTATTTGTAATTGGGTAAACGAGTGGACTTGAGTATCAGCGGTAATGTTTTCTACAATTGTAATCTATAAAATTATTTCGCAAGGCTACGCGAGAAAAGAGTTAGATAATTTTACAACTTATATTTATATAATCACCTTGTGGAAATAATTTGTACACGCAATTAATTTATGCAAACAAAATATATATGCAAACAAAATAAAGGTATACGTATATATTTTTAGATTGAAGGAGTGCGAATCAATTTGTGACTCTCTGCACTTGAAAAAAGGTCACTTCAAGCTATGCCTTCTTTAGAATGACACACTTGTAAATTTATGCTTAATCTTGTCGATGAATAAATTAATTGTTTTACTGTCTAGAAATGCTGTTTGATGTGCTATTTCCTTCTCCCTGAAATTCCGCTGTGAAAATATAACAATGCAGATGACATATTTGCATTGTAAAATAAAAATCAACTGTACGTCGCAATGGAATAGCTCATTTCATCGGTACATAATTTTCATGCTCACTGAATGGACGTTTACTTAAAAGATTGAAAACAGATATTCGACTTATGATATGCGAAAACGATATGAATGGAAATTTTCGCTGATATAAAGCTATTTTCAACAAATATCTCATTTACATAATTTGAATCATATCCTAGTTGATTTATATTTCATTGTCTAAACCGGTACTCATCGTATTTTTTTAACTGTTATTGTGGGTAATAACAATAAAAATATTGCTGTTATAACTTGTTTTTATGCATATCGTGAGCAGGGCAACTTTGTCAACAGATGAAACATCGAAAGATTTGTAATGTAAAGAAACTGGTCTGGAAAATTTATATATGAATATGGCTGAATTCCCAAGCCAGTATCTGAAAGCACTTACAATTGACACCGAAATAATTTCACTTGGAGCACATTACAGAGCGATAAATCACTCTGTTGGCCAGGTCTCTCGATCGCAAGGATTGGTCGTAAATTTTGAAAATGAGCGATAGCAATCACTCGAGACGAAGCGAGCAAAAACTACTTTCAAAATCGTCGATAAAAAAATTAGCCGATCGCGTCCGGAAATAAAAATAATGAGCAGTTTATTAATGACGATCTCTGGCGTTAAAGGCAGCGCGACGAGGAGTCGATCAATCGAAGGCACGCTCGCAACTCCAATGGAAATGGCTGTGCGCCCTCTCGCCATTCGCAAAGTTGATGCGGCGCGTGAGGGAAGAACAGAAAAAATGATGATAAATTAAGCGCGCGCGCGCGCGAGAGAGAGAGAGAGAGAGAGAGAGAGAGAGAGAGCGAGCGAGCAGTTGGCTCGTTTGGATCGGGAGAATCGCCGAAATAATCTTATTAACGCACGTCGACGTGAAGGATATTTATTGAGGCACGCGCGGCGAGTGTAGCGCGGCCGCCGCAGGCCGATATAACTCGGCGTTACTTTCTTATATTCGTGACCGACATTATGCGCTCGCGAGAGCCTTCGCTCCGAGAAAACGTAGACGCGCGCGCTTTTCAGAATTTTTTATCTCTCCCTCCCCGTCTCTCGCAACGCGCAGAATTTATGCGTTGCTCGAGTCGACGGACGGAGGATACCATTCACGGCGAAAATTCGAAAAACGATGCGCGCTCGCGCGTATTTGTAGCCGTGTATATCGCGTTGCTTAATTGGCTGTGTGAACACCTATGCGTGCTGCCGCCGGATTTGGGTCAGAGTCCGCGTGGTTAGGTGCGCTGCCGCTGTACGTTACGATACACAGGATGCCACACACCATCTCGCGCCATGAGAATGCGGTCCTCGGTTACGGCCATCGAAATTCGGCTTCTAAACAACTGGAACGACGCCCGCTCTACATCTCCTTCCAACATACTTGATCTCGAGCAGCGTTAATGTTACCGATTAAAAGCCAGCGATAAAAAGGCCCTTTCCTCTTGCTTCGTCGTGCTTTTCTATGGATTTACAGCGGTTTCCAAAGGCGCCTCTCGTCTACCTGCCAATTATTCCACTAATGAAGCTGTGGATTGGCTATGAATTGTTTCTACAGTCTTGCGCAATTTTGACCAGTTCCACGTGGTTCGTGCAAACATTCTCAAATCGTTTCCTCTTTCGTGGCGAACCGCCAAAGAGCGAGGGCTTTCCATTCGGCAGAGCACCGCAGCCGTTGAGAAATGCAACGGAGAGGATAAAAGTCCGGGGCAGGCCGATTGGAAGCTGACGAACGTGTACGCAGGCGACACGCGACGCGACGCGTGGGCGTGAAGTGTTTTTCAAAGTGCAGTGGCGGCAGCGGCAGCCAGGCTGATTGCGACCAAAGTTATTATCGCGTCCAACCAATTACGGCGTGTTAAACTCGCTGGAGCCGTGCTATCTTAATAAATCAAGTCAGCGCGCGCCTTCTATTCACACTTGATGGTTTTATCAAGGCTGCCGAAAAGTCATTTTGTCCTGCTCCGAGTAATTATCAGGCCGCGCGCGAGCGTTGCGTTTTGCAAAGCACAACTTTATCGCATCGCGCGCGCATATCCGCCAACGACTCTGAACGATATTTCATTCTCACGCTGCTTAATATCAGTATGGTAATAATAACGGACAACTGCTGTTGTTGCCACACAGAGATACGCACACGTACACGCGTGCGAGCGGACATTCGCCGCGATCGATATAATAAAAATTGATGTATATAATAAAAGCGGCAATTTGTTGGTTTTTTGCAGGCAGCTGCGCCAATAATTACAATACTTACGAGTCGACCTGGCGAAACGCCAGACGTCGCACGATAATGCGCGATAAGCAGCGTATACCGAAGCAAATACCTCTATACGCCTCATTTGCCGTGTGTCTTATGAGCAATGCGCGCATGCACGGGGATAGATTGAAAAAATCGTTGCTACGACATAAGCGCGTACCGAATTGTGCGCACGTTCAGGCGGAACAGTTCGCAGCTGGATTACGAAAGCATTATGTTGAACAAATATGCAAAACTGTCGACGCGATCCGGTATAGCAAAGCATATCATTGAGCGTTTCTCTCTCTCTCTCTCTCTCTCTCCCTCTCTTGCCGGGTATGTATTGGTATACTTTGTCTTATTGCATTGTTGCGTCATCGGAGACTCGTAATGGGCCAAATATTCACTGTACGCGCGTTTATTCATCCGGATCTTCGTAAATTCGTATCTATCCATTTTTTTTCGCAATCGCTACGGAGAAGTGGATAAAAACGAAATAACTCGATGAAAGACTGACGGCAGTTTTCTTCGATGCCTTTCACCACTATTGTCTAGTTTTTGCGTGCAAATGTAGAAGTGGATATCGAAAAAAAAACGGCAAAATAAGAGAAAAAAAAACGAAAAAAACAAGCCGTTATCGAATGACAAAATGCAAATCGAGTAGTTGAAAACAACGGCCAAGTGAATGCGCATAAAAAATGCGAGATAGCGGAATGTTGCAGAAATGGCAATAAACTCATAAGCTTGTCGGCCAGATGCAGCGTAAGATGATGCCGCATCAATCAGTCCCGTCGAGATTATGCTCGCAAAGTACGCGCAGCATCGGTCGTTTATATTGGGACCCAGCGGCCTGACCCAGCAGATGCGAAATCGCGAAAATAAAGCAGTCGAAGGAAAAAGAAGCTCCTTATAACTGGCGCGCAGAGACAAAGGAAAGATCATGACTTGGCATTAACAATCGAGCAATGAATTGCCCTGGCCTTTGATTTTTCGTTGCTCCTTTTGCGATAAAACGGGGCAGCGAGCGAAGCGTGCCGTGCACGATTACTAATCGCTTTGGAGCCCCGGCAGCAGTCGCATAATTGTTTCTCGCGCGCATGAAATATCGCGATGCGATCGACACTCCCCTCGATCATTTGCTCATGAGCAGCGCGCCAGCGAAAGAGGAGCGAGCAGGATGGCAAACAGAAGAAAGAAAAAAACAATGGAGCACGGCGATCGGCTCGAGGCAGAGGAACACCTGCATGCCGCGCACATTGAAACGTCATGCACCCGCGCGACTTTCCCCATTGGCGCGCCGCGGAGGATCGCCTGTGAGCGGCGCAGCGGCGCAGCGGCTGACAATGCCGAGGGCAAGAGCGCGTCAGCGGAGGAGCTCTCGTCTGCCCGACCAACTGGAGTGAAACTCTTGGCATTGTCTGGGCCTGCATAGGACGGGCCTATTGGTTGCGCCGCTCGATATATCTGCAGGCATGATATTTATGGGCACTTTTACTCCTCGCCGTCGCCGTCGTCGCCGCCGCGCGGTTGCTTTCTACGTTGCATTCCCCCGGCGTTCGAAGCTTCGCGCTTCACCTAAAAAATCTTGGCTCCGCTGCGGCCAATCTCGTACTTTAGACAATGCACACGACTGCTTTCCTGTCACGAGTCCGACGCTTTATCTCATTCAACCTGTATATTAGTGTAATGCCGCATAGCTGGCGCATTTTATTCCCGATTGAATTGCCACTTTAGGAGAGTGGCGCTGCAGTTGCGCCAAATATTCACCAACGACCCATGCTCCAACTGCAAGGTCTGCCGAGCTTTATCGCCATCGACAGTTTCGCGAGGCTCGCATTTCTGTCGTTCGCCGAATGCCGCCTTTCAGGAGCTTGACAATGGCCATTCCCGCAGCTTCATATCCGCGCATTACCTGCAGTTCAACGTGCAAATCAAAATTAACAGCCGTGCTTTGGCGTACGCGCACGTACGTTTCAAAACCCAAGTACAATTGCCCGTAGGCTGTGTAATCATCCTTACCATGCTCCTTTCCAAATAATTTGGTTGCTCAACGCTCGGCTTCGCCTCGGCACGTCTGCACATCTCGCAGCTATTCGATATCCTTTCTTTCCCGATTCACCAAATTTTATCCCGTCGCAAAGCCCGCAGCCATACTTCGGTGCTTATTTATACGCAGTTTGTCGCCAAATATGTCTGTCGCCCGGCCATCCCAAATAAATCTTGTGCGTCAATCACAACTCCAACAATGAGCCCATTTCATTCTTCACGGACGTTTAATCACACCCGAAACGATTGCGAGATAAAAGACATCCAACCAAAAAAAGAAAATAAAGAAATCTGCAAAAGAAATCTCGGTATTCAAAGTGACGTCGAGTGAAGTGAAGTGAAGGTTGGCTTTGTACGTTTTAGTGTACCGAGACATTGTCCGTCAGGACGAGACGCTCGCGGGTGTACGGGCCATTTTACAATGCGAGAAACTCGAATTTAATTCGGTCGGGCCTTAAACATAAAATTAATGGCGCTCGTGGCTTTTTCAAGTACAACGCATTACCTGTGAATCATGAAAACACTCGAACGTATAAAAAACCTCTTATCTGATCAAATACCATACGATTTTTCGCAATTAAAAACACCAATTATG